TTTGGCAGGAACTGAACCTAAAACAAAAGTCAATACCGAGAGTGGTGGTTCATGCCTGTAGTCCAGCTACTTGTGAGGCTGAGATGGAAATGCCACTCATCTGGGAGGCTGAGACTAATTTTAACAGCTGCAGATCCCTCGAGGCATGGGCTCCACACTCAGACAGCAGTGCCCAACCTCACCTCTCAGTGGCACAAGGCAATGAAGGTGATCTCATATCTTTAACAGCCCCAGCTAATTTGCATTTCTGCCAGATGCCGCAGCCCCAACAGGAAACAATGTCATGCTCTAGTGGAACCCCTGTGTTCCTTGAGGCCAAAGTGTAACCGTGGCTCAGTGGCTCACTGAGTCGGGAGCGGGTGAGAGTTGGCGGCCGTGGGTGGGCAGAGTGAGGAGGGCTAGGGTGTCTGGGACTTGCAAAGCTCCTGACTTACTTCCAGGGCTGATCTGAATCATACTGTGATTTTGGCTGATTATAAACAGCTCCATTCTCTCGCTTAGAATTCTGAATTAAAAATAGGCCAGTCTTCAACTGGCTTTGGTCCCATCTGCCTTTAGCTCACACTAGCTAGCTTCTAAGTGTGCCAGAAGCTTCACAATGCAGCAATTCTTCCCTGAGCTCCCTACACAGGCAAGCGCTAACTTGGTGATTCCTTGAGTTGAACCCAAATGTGCTTCTGAGTCAGAGCTGGGCTTGGAAGTGGCTCATTGCTTGGCCTTCTGTTTATGCCTCAAGTGATTTCATATGAAGATGAAGCCTCAGTTCTCTGCCCAAGAGAAATCCAGTCTATAATGGTCCAGATTCGACAGAGGGAATGAATCAGCCATTGTAGATTCAGTTGGGGGAGCTTTGCATTCTGTGAGACTTCTCACGGCAGGAGCTTTTCCCTTGGTGAGAAACATATTTGCATCCATCAGGATAGGTGAGTGAATGAAGCCTCTTAAAGACTAGATTTATGATTTCAGAACCAAATCTGAAAAGAAGTTTCAGATAACAGCTATGCAAATGACATGGCAATCTTGAAGCTACAACTGTGACTCACACGGAAGAAATAGAATATGATGTTTGTGACTTCTAAAGAATAAAGTAGGGATCAGGTGAGTGAGTTCCTGTTATCCCAGCACTTGAGAACAAAGGCCGGAGGCTCTCAAGTTCAAGTCAGTGAGACTAAAGGCGCCTGGGGCCAAGCCTGGTAGCCAGAGCTCAAGCCCTAGGATCCACATGATGGAAGAAGAGAACTGACTCCAGTGGCCTATCTTCCAACTTCCATGTACACACGAGTACACACTTGCACACACAAGCACACATGGATACACACACATGTAGATACACATGTGTATGCACATGCTCTCATGCACACTCTCAAAAAATAAATAAAATTATTTAAAAAACAAGAAGGAAGGGGCTAGAAAATGGCTCAGAGGGTTTAAGAATGTTTGCTGCCCTTCCAGAGGAAGAGTCTAGTAACTACTTCAGGTGACTCACATCTACCTGCAACTCCAGCTCCCGGGGTCTGATGCCCTCTTCTGGACGCTTTGGGCACCTTTTCTCACTTGTGCGTATAACCCCACCACCACCCCAAGAAAAATATGTATTTGTTTACTTATTGCATGTGGAGGGAGGCATACACATGCCATGGGCACACTGTGGAGGTCCGAGGTTAACTTGCAAGAGTCTTGTTGATTTTGAACTTGAAGCACCTGAGTCATCTGTCCACCGCCACCCCCAATTTAAAGTTTTTGATCCATCACATTTGTTACTTTGGTCTCTAAAGTTGGAAGTTTTGTTGAAAAGCTAACTTGCAAGTTGTATTTTACAATACAATGATAGTTTATGTTGTTATCTTATACAAAGAGATAAAGAAGCTGTAACTCTTGGCAACAATCTGTAATAAAACCTTTTCAGGGCTAGGGCCGTAACTCAAGGCAGTATTTACCTAGCATGAGCAACACCCTGGGTTAGATCCTTCATTCCACAAAAAGTCTTTGTTGGAATCGAAGCACTCAGGAAGCAAGGGGATTATGTCTGAGGCCATCCGGGGCCACACAGTGAGACCCTGTCTTGATAAACAAAACAAAGGTGTTTTCAAACTTGGTGCTGCATTTGCCTGTAGAGTCTGTAGTTCTGGCTCCTCAGAAGGCTGAGAAAGGAGGAGGTTAGTTAAGGTGGCAACACTTAGACACTGATTCAAACAAATACAAGGTTTTCCAAGGATGTATTCACAACTTGACTACTGAGAAAGTCTGTGAAGATTATCCTATTGAATGCTTGTTTGTTTTAAGAAAGGTCTTACTGTGTAACTCTGGCTGTCCTGGAACTGGATGTGTAGAGCAGGCTGGCTTTAAGCTCATAAAGATCCACTTGCCTCAGCCTCCTGAGTGCTGGGACTAAAGGTGTGCTGCCATGCCTGACTGTTTTTTCTTTTTTTTTTTTGAAGTCAGTCTCCCACTGCAGATAGGTTGCCTTGAATTTGAGACCCTCCTTCCTTAACCTCTCGAGTACTGGATTAGAAGCTAACATCACCACACTTGGCTTAATATTGTGTTTATGGGTGGTTATTTTGTATAACTGAACACAGTTAAGTGTATTAATACAATATGATTTCAAGTCATTAACAATGATTGGAAGAATCAGGAGGAGAGATGTTTTTCCCTTTGTTTCTTCCTCTTTCCCTCCCCTAGCACCCCCCCCATTCCCTTCTTTTTTTTTTCTCTTCTTTTTCTGAAACAAGGCCTCAGCTGTGTAGGCTAGGCTGGCTTTGAACAGCAGAGTTTCCTGCCTCATCAGGGGAGCACCAGAGGAACAGGCGTTTACCCCGCTGAAGAGGTTTTTCCAGCATTGTGTTAGATCAGTGGTTCTTAACCTTCCTAATGCTTCGACCCTTTAACAGTTTCTCACGTGGTGACTCCCAACCATAAGGTTATTTTCATTGCTACTTAATAACTGTAATTTTGCTACTGTTATGAATTACAATGCAAATATCTGTGTTTTCTGGTGGTCTTTTGGGGGTCACAACCCACAGGTTGAGAACAACTCCTTAACAGCACAGGGAATGCAATTGTTAGGCATTGGTCTGGGAATTTTGTGGGATGAACTGGGTTTGCTGTTTCTGAATGAGATGTCAATTTTTAAAATAATTTATTTAACTTTATTTTTTATATGCATTGGTGTGAATGTGTCTGATCCCCAGGAACTGGAGTTACAGACAGTTGTGAGCTGCCATGTGGGTGCTGGGAATTGAACCCAGGTCCTCGGGAAGAGCAGCCAGTGTTCTTAACTGCTGAGTCATCTCTCCAGCCCCGAGAGATGTCAACTTTTAAGGCAGGGTTGAGACTGAGTCATTATTTTAACTGAATACCGGTTCTGAGCTGTGGAGGCTCATGGGAAGACTGTATCAGTCCAGAGGACAGCAGGACACCAGTGAGAGGAAGGGGACCACACAGACTGGTGTCACATTCTGAGACATTTGGAGAGGCCACAGCCTGTGAAAGGAGAGGTCTTTCCTCAGTTCCTCCAAGCTCAAACCATCACGGCCCTCGCCAGCCTCAGGCTGCACTCACAGGGCAGAGAAAGCATTCCTTGGCAGAGCGTGCCACTTGGGAACTCAGTGGGCTCAGCGGTGATGGTGAAGGGGCCCAGAGGAGAGCGGCGATGGGTGATAGTTTCTCTTCACGTGGTGTTTTCTCAACCTACAAAAGAACTCACTTCTCAATTCCTTGTCACCTCCTGTCTTCAGTGCTGCTGACTCCGTACTATCTGCTAAGGCCTCCCATGGATATTGGCAAAACATGGCATCAAGTTCTCTGTTTACATGGACCACAATGCTTGCTGCACACTCTGTTCTTAATGCTTTGGGTCCTCTCTGCACACAGAGAGTATAAAAGTCCCTCTCCCACAATGGCCCCATCTTTCTGAGCACGTCCCTACGTTTCAGAGTTTCAGGACTTGTTGCAGAGTTTTGAAGTAATGAATGTTTTCATTAGAAGTCCACCAGTTGGCCAGTATCGAAAGCGAGAACCACCACCACCAACACAGAACTTCCATCCTCCAGAGCCAGCTTCCTGAGTGCTTGGACTGCAGGTGTGTACCGCTAGGCCCCGCCTAGCAATGTGAATATACAACCCAAGTTCATCTAAAAAAGAAGGCGGCCCCCACCCCTCCACGGCACTGACAGATCTGTCTACAGAGAAGTCTGAGCAGCAGGAGCTCTTATCATCCAGGCTAACCTCGGCCCCACCCCTTGGGAAACCCGGCCCGAGTGCCCACCACTCTGCGCATGGCAAGCAGTACCCTGGCTGTATGTCGCTGCAAAGGTCCCTTTAAGAGACAAACCCTGCCCACTCCCGTTCTCTTTCCTGCTGTTCCTCTAAAGGGGCAGGCAGGACGTTTCTTGTCTTCTTCTCTCTCTCTTTATCTCTCCCTCTCTTCCCTTTCCCCACCTCCTTCCCTTCCCTCCAATAAAACTTCCGGCTTAAGTTCTATCTGCCTGGCTGTGCTTGCCCTTCACCCACATGTGACCCTTCCAAGGTCCCCTTCACCCCACTCATAATATGCACTGTGTACAGTGAGGCTTCGGCATAACGGATGTGCAGGCATTCTTGTGACCTCGCCACAAACTCATGGAGAGTGGCTTAGTCTGGTACACTACATATTTGATAACACATAATACACATCTGTACAATGTGTGAAAGCCAGGGATCGTGGCATAAGACCTGTAATCCCAGCACTAAGGAAGCTGAGACAGGAGGATTGCTATGAGTTCCAGAGCTAAAAGTAGCAAGACCCTGTCTCAAAAAAACAAAGTGAGGGCTGGGTGGTGGTACATACCATTAATCCTAGCACTTGGGTAGCAGAGGGAGGCAGATCTGTGAGTTTCAGGACAGCCAGGGCTACACAGAGAAACCCTGTTTCCAGTACCCCCTCCAAAGGGGAAAAAAAAGACAAAACCAAGCAAAGCAAAACAAAATATGAGCGTATTTGTTTTCAGTAAGACAATAGGTTATTAACAAATAAGTTTATTATTCAAATGGCTCACAATGTCCACATCAAGTCAATAAAAATATATAATATGTGAGTTACTTAATGACATAGTCGACTGTAATTCTTGGGAGGTCAGTCTTTCATATGTAAATGAAAAGTTCCCTGTTTTCTAGAAGATTAATCTCTATTGGGTGAAGACTGGGGCAAGATAAAGACCTCCCTGGTGGTGGGCGTGCAGTAGTCAGGGCTGCACACATCTCGTGGGCTGTGAGCTCCTCTCTGCTGCTGCAGAACTTAGAATTCTGGGCGGCAACATTTTCCAGGTTTAACGTGTCAAGACAAAAACGCAGTTGAACCTAACAGTTGTAGAAGACGACACACTTCCATTGGAGGTTGATGTTTGTCCTCTTCAATGGTAGTTGCAAATGCAAAGAAAGGTAAATCTTGTTTTTTGAGCAGGGTCTCACTGTGTACCAAGTGCTGGGATTAAAGGTGTGCCAACAGGCTCAACATAAGTGAAATGTTTCCATCTACTATGGCTTTTACACATTGTGGGCTCTCTTTCTGATTTTTAAAAAAAATCTTAGTTTTACTATATGCACATATGAACATGCAGGCCCAGATACTATGGCTTGTTCTGCTTAGTGTCACTGGTAGGCTATGGGGTTCTACAATGTCAAAGCTAATGATTGGCTGCAGGACTGGCCATGTGGCTGCCTTTTTTTTTTTTTTTCGTTTTATGAGACAGGGTTTCTCTGTATTGTTTTGGAGGCTGTCGGTCCAGCCCGGCCTCAAACTCACAGAGATCTGCCTGCCTCTGCCTCCTGAGTGCTGGGATTAAAGGGTGTGCCACCACCGCCCGGCTGTGGCTGCCTTTTGAAAGAAAAGACAAACCTGGAAGTGGTGGTACACGCCTCTGATCCCAGTACCTGGGAGGCCTACCAGTGACACTAAGCAGTCACTGGGTTCGAGACCAGCCTGGTGAATTCCAGGACAGTCAGAGCTACATAGAGAGACCCTGTCTCAAAAATACAACAAACAAAAAAACAAAAAAATAGAAAAATATTTTTTGAAGATTATTTTCTCAAATAGGGGCTTCGTTTGTAGGTACACGCCACAGTCAGAAGCAAAAATTAGAATTTTACAGGCAGGGAATCGGTAGTCTATGTATGTGAGAGAGGGACAGATATGGGGAGAGAATATTTTTGAGCTTAAGTGAGGCTGTAGCTTCCCGAGATGGTTCTAATTGGCTGAAATGGTAATTTGGATAGTCAGTTTTTTTTGTTGTTGTTGTTTTGTTTTTTTGTTTTTTTAGTTTTTAAATAGGCATGATGAGAAATACTGATTTGTCCATTTATGAGGAAGTGAACCAGGCTGCTGCTTAATGACCAGTTGGGACATCTGTTTACACAGATGTTTTAGTCGAGAGAGATGTAAGCATGGTTTTACATTGATGAATAGTAGGTTATTCTTCCTTGTCTGAGATGCTGAGACAAAGTTTACATAGATTAGGGGAAGGCTGAGCCTGGCATTAAAAGCATTACAAAAATGCATAGTAGTAGCAAAATAAAGGCAGCGGGCAGTCGTTTTAATAGCTATTTACAAGGCCTTTGACAGCTTCACTTGGCAGCTCACATGCAAGTGACCTGCGTCACGCCCTCTTCCTGGTCAAACTGTCCGTCATCTAGTTCCCGGAGGACGCTGTTGCTGCTGCTGAAGCCCAAGAAGCTGTCGCTCCGTGCTGGCTGCTCCTCCTTGGTCCAACACTCTCTGGAGGGAGAGAGGGGCCCCTCCTCAAGAGGGGCTCGGCCTTGTGCCAGATGGGATGAGTTGGTGTCCAGGCCGATGCTCCTGCTGCCAACCTTGTTTCTGTCCTCACCCTTCAGCAGCCGGCTAGCTTTCCTCTGAAAAGGAGGGAAGAGATTGTCAACCAGGGCTTGGAACATGTACCCCGCGCCTCAGCTCTGCCTGAAACTCCCCTTTCTCTCCCGTTTCTCTGCAGCAGTTGGGGTGTGGCTCAGAGCCAGAGCCCTGCATACCTTGCTCGTGGTCCTCAGCACCTGGCAGGGAGAGCCTCCCAATCACTAAGGTCCCGCTCAGAGCCCTGCTCCTCTCTCTGCCTGTCTTGCAAATCTGCTCTTGGCTTGTCCTCCTCAGTGGAAGGTGTTCGTGTGCACATTTCTCAGGAGACAATGAGTTAAATTTGTACTTGGGGAGCAAAGGCAGCAAGAAACAAACTTTTCTTGTTGGTAACTGTTAGTGTCTAAAAAGCAGAGCATGCCGGGCGTTGGTGGCACAAGCCTTTAATCCCAGCACTGGGGAGGCAGAGGCAGGTGGATCTCTGTGAGTTTGAGGCCAGCCTGGTCTACACAGTGAGTTCCAGGACAGCGTCCAAAACAATACAGAGAAACCCTGTCTCGAAAAACCAAAAAAAGAAAAAAAAAAAAAAAAGAAAGCAGAGCACATGACTCAGTGGGTCCCTTGTCTGGACAACTCAGACCCGGTTCCTTTAATGACCGATGGAATGGCCTTGGGGTCTAGGCAGACCCTTTCTCGACCTGCTACAGACAAGGTTATTGCTCTGCAGTTCAATCCAGCCCATTCAGCAGACTGACAACATGTTAGTAAATATCTACTGAAGGCTGGCAATGTCCTGGTTCCTGTGGTAGTTGAAGAAGAACGGCCCCCATAAGCTCATGCGTTTGATTTGAATGCTTAGTCACTAGGGAGCCACTCTTTGAAAAGATTAGAAGGATTAGGAGGTGTGGCCTTGTTGGAGAAGGTGTGGGTTTGTTGGAGGAAGTGCGTCACTGTGGGTGGGCTTTGAAATCTCAGAAGCCTATGCCAGGCAGTCTCTCATTCTCTCTCTCTCTCTCTCTCTCTCTCTCTCTCTCTCTCTCTCTCTCTCTCTCTCTCTCCCTCTCCCTCTCCCTCCCTCTCCCTCTCCCTCTCTCCCTGCCTCTCTCTCTCCCTCTCTCCCTCTCTCCCTCTCTCCCTGTCTCTCTCTCTCCCTCTCTCCCTCTCTCCCTCTCTCCCTCTCCCCCTCTCCCCCTCTCCCCCTCTCCCCCTCTCCCCCTCTCCCTCCCTCCCTCCCTCCCTCCCTCCCTCCCTCCCTCCCTCCCTACAGGTCAGGATATAGCTCTCAGTTTTGCTCCAGCACCCTGCATGCAGCCATGTTCCTCCCATGATGCTAATGGACCAACCCCTTGAAACTGTAAGCAAGCCTCCAATTAAATGCTTTCTGTTATAAGCATTGCCTTGATCGTGGTGTCTCTTCACAGCAACAGAACGGTGACTAAGACACTACAGCTCATGGTGACTTCTCTGCCATGTAAACTTAGGTCAAAACCAGATCTCTAGGTGACAAAAGGAGCTGGAGGAGGACTCAAGCCCAGCGTGTGGACTTCCAGACTGCTACAGGCCCACTTAACTAACGTGTAAGGAATGTGTCACTTACTGGACCTGTTCACATAACCTCAGCTCTATAAAGCTGAGTAAGGTTTTTAAAAAGCAAGCTAGTAGTCACAGTATTCTTTCCACTTACCAAGAAAGAGTTTGTTTATCCAACGCTCATTTCAATGTTAGCCAGGAACTAAGATTACTATGTGAAGTTATGAAACTCTTGGAAAGCACTGGCCTCATTGGCTGTTCTTACAACAGTTTCCTGCTCCCGTCTCACGACTCACCTTTGCTCTCACCAAACACAAACATCAGATCCTCGACCCTTGTCCTTTGTTCCTGCTCGAATCATGCTGAGCCAAGTACTCACAGTGGGGCCTCAAAAGGGCTCTCAGAGAGGTGCCAGGTTTGAGAATGGTGTCCCAGTGTTGGCAGGGCTGAACAACACTGCTAGGCTGGGCTTCTTCAAGCCTGGCTAGCAGAGGCCTTTCCCACAGGCACAAAAATCTCCTTGTGCTCAGCCGCCTACTCTGACTCACACAGGGAGGCCCCCGGAGTCTTTGGTTGTACTAGGGACAAAGGTGACTTTTGCAATACATTATTGTATGTCAGATAACAGACCAACTCTTATTGCAATGAGAATTTCCTTAATAGAAACAGAATACTCCTTAGAATGAGCTATTCATAGTAATGTACTTTAGATAATTGTTAATAAGTAAATGACTATCAGTTGTAAATTTGAAATACTACCTGACAAAATACCTAACATGGTATCCTAAAGGATTTCAGAACACAATGCCTTTGATTTCAGGGGACTATTGAGTTTTATTAACATGTCTTTCACAATGAAATTGTCTCTCCCACACAACCTCGCCCCACATGAAACATTTTTACAATCATCAAATTTGTGATGTCCCAATAACTCAAATGCTGGCGTCTGAAACCCATCCCATGCCGGGAGGCCGTTCATGTCAGTCCCCCATTCTCCAGGGGTCCTCCACGGAGGGATAAGACTGTTCTTTTCACAGTATACTCATCACATTTACAAAAACAAGACTGGATCAGTGACACAAGACTTGTGTTCCCTAAATAAAGATTTCTTCATGTTACAGAATAATATATATGCAATGTAGGGAGCCTGGTAGAACAAAGGAAAAAGGAAACCCACCTATAAATCTATCTCCAAAGAATGATACTGTTAGAGCCATATTTTACTTCCCCCTCCCCCTCTCTCTCTTTCTAGATATAAGTAGACAAGAGGTACTTAAGAGCACAACACAAGCTCTTTTGGCCTTTGGCCTCCTGGTTGCTGCACCTGGTTTCCCTCTCTTGGCCCAGCTCAGTCTGGTCATGTCCACCCTGGACTCCCCCAGATGTCCCTGCCTCTGACTATGCTCTCCCACACTCTACAAAACTTTCTCCTCCACCCCTAGGAGCAGTTGTGTTCTTTCCTGTGCTTTTTATTCTTTTTGTCTTTTATTTATCTGGTGCTGAAACCTGGGAGTACCTTAAATGAGTTCCCTCTCCTAGGGACTCCTCACTCTGGCCCCAGCTGCTGGCCCGACCCTGCTAAGGGGTGTTCGGATGCTTCTGCTGGCTTCTGACACCCGACAAATCCCATTCTGGAGTCCGCCTCTTCAGCTGCTTCTCCCCTCCACCTTAACTAACCCCATCTCTCCTGGCCTACTCAGTACGTGTCCCCTTTCCCAGTTACACACTTTTGGGCCTCCAGCCATGTGTGCATCCCCCCTTTGAGACTGTCCACCACTTGGACGTGTCCCTACTATGCCCTTTGGGCTGCCCACCACGCGGGCAATTCCACTGACTAAGACACTTGTGTTTCTCCAGCTGTTTCCTCCTCTACCTGCCCTAACCACTCCTCTCTCCCCTTCTGCTGGGCAAGTGTCACTATGGAGCTCCCTGCTTTGTCTGATTTCACTTTGAAAGTCACACTGGTGTGCCAGGGAGCTTCCTACCAGCCCTATCACATGGAAAGGAACACGTCTCCTCTGTAATTTTGGACATTTCTCTCTGACAAGTCTCAGTCTGATGTGGATTGACATTCTTGTTACTGTGACACTTATCCCCTCTGCTGGCTCATGGCTCCTCTCAGTTCCTTCCTGGCGCTTCCTCCCTCCCCTAGGAACGGCCTCTATGCTCCTCGGTCTGTAGCCCTTTCCTTGGAGCTATCTGCTCTATCTCTCCTAGAGCCACCCTAGGGCTTAGAGTTTGGGAGTTTCTTTGCCTCCCCTAAGGTGATTTGGTTAGTATTTTTCACAGAAACAGAAAGCAAAGCAGGGCACTGGGACTACAAGCACATGCCATGATGCCCAGTGTGGAATTCTGTTTCATTTATGTGCGTGCCTGTGTGCATGTGTGCGAGCATGCGTGTGTATGTATCCCTGCATCTATGTCTTGGTATTTAAGACAATTTTTGGGAGTCAGGTTCTCTTCTCCCACCATATGGGTCCTGGGAAATCAAACTTGGGTAGTCTGTGAGGCTTGGCAGAGAATACCTTTATTTGTGAAGCCATTTCACTGGACCTGGGATTTTATTTATTTTATTTTATTTTTTTGGTTTTTCGAGACAGGGTTTCTCTGTGGCTTTGGAGGCCATCCTGGAACTCTCTTGGTAGTCCAGGCTGGTCTCAAACTTACAGAGATCCGCCTGCCTCTGCCTCCCGAGTGCTGGGATTAAAGGCGTGCGCCACCAACGCCCGGCTGGGATTTTATTTTTAAAAAGCCTATATTGTAAAACTGATAATTGGGTATACATTCCTACGACAAACACCATAGCAGTTCTGTCATCTCCTGAACTTTCCTGCACATCTCCTGTCACACGGTTCGCCAAATCCAGGCAACCACAGATCTGATCTCTATATCAAAGTAGCGGATGTGATGTGAATGGAACAACACAGTCTGTAGCCTTTGGGGACTGGCTTCTTTTGCTCAGCTCAACACCTGTGAGATCCATGCAAGTTACTGTTCTTTTCCCTGGCTCATTTCTTATTTCTGTAGTATTTTTAAGTAGTACTTAGCTGTACGACTGCACCATCATTGTCTAACCATCCACATATTGAAGACAGAGGCTTTCTCCTGCTCGGGGCACTTGTGACTAGAGTAACTACAAATATTCGTGTATACACTTGTGTGTGGGTGTATCTCTGATGTAAACACCCAGGGAAGGGGACTGCTGAGTCACGTGTGTGTTTAAAGTCACAAGGCCATCTTCTTGAGTGCCTAGATTGCTTGTATCCCATCCAGCAGGGACCGCTCTGCTTGCCCTTCAGCCTCGCCGGCTCGTGGTTATTGTCAGACTAAAAATTCAGTCTTTGGAATATATGCATGGTGCATCTCATCATGGACTACATTTGCACTCCTAAAACTAGTAGTTAAAGCATCTTTTCATATCCTCATTGGTAATTGTGATATTTTCTTACTGTTGATATTTGGGCATCCTTGACACAGCCTGCTATTATAGATGTGATATAAGGTTCCATTGTGGTCTGTGGGTTGTCTTTTCATTCTCTCAGTGGTATAAGTCACATAGCACAGTTTTTTTTTATTTTGATGAAATCTAATTCATCAACTTTTATTGAATCATGGCTTTGCCATTATATCTGAGATCTTTCCTAACTTTGAGGACACTTCCCCCTAATGTTTATCCTAAACGTTTTCTAGTTTTACTAATACAAATCGTTTTCGATGTCTTAAAGAAAATGGGGCTGGGGTGCAGCTCTGTTGGAAGGTGCTTGTCCGGAAGCAGTTGTCGGGACATCCGACACTTCTGCAGGAGAGGCAGGAGGTTGAGGATTTCAGGGTCGGGGACTCATGGGATGGTGAGGTGCTCACACTGCTGACCGTGGTGAGCCTCAGCCTTGGGCTCCCATGTCACACCCCTTGGGCTCTTGGCCATTACCCAGTCCTGCCACTTTATCTGCTCTTGGGTCTAGCAGCGCTTGGGGCCAAGGGACACTAGAAAGACTGTAATGTCTGGAGCCCCTAGTCCTGGTGGTGGGGCTATCGACTCACCAAGTGGCAGCCGTGCCCAGGGCTTCTTCCTGAGGACGGTTTTGTAAATCTCACCCTGGCCTTTTTCTTTTCCCCATGCCACCCTCCTCTCTCCTACACTTTCCAGATGTCCTCACTCCCTTTGTGAACTCCAGACACTTCCCCTCCATCTTATTGGAATGGAGTCTTGTCCTGACTCTCTCTCTCTACAGCATCATGTAGAAGCAGCTCGCGTCTACCATTTTACCCAGAAGTCTTGAGTTTGTTTGTTTGTTTTTTTATTGGAAACTGAATCTGGAGCCTCATGCCTGCTAGGTGATGCTCTCCCACTGGGGTATAGCCTCAGCTCTGGAACTTCAAGTTGAAGAAGGAGTCTAAATATTTTCAAGGAATCAAGAAACTGCTATCAATTCTAAGTAGAGAAGACTGTAGAGTAGCTGACTTGGACTCAAACATGACTGCACATCCACACGACTGCACGGCCCTCCATTAGTCCAAATCCCCGGGATGACTATGAATGAGTATGATACTTCCTAAAAGCATGATGACCATTTGAAGAATGTTGAGCTAGGACAGAAAAGAAAGTTCGTTGATGATAAAGTTGTTGTGTGGAAAAAGGAAGAGTGAAAATCTGTGCTGGATAGTTTCATGTCAGCTTCACAAGCTAAAGTCATCCTTCCTCTCAGCCAGGTTCTTGTAGAACCCGGGATGGCACCACCCACAGTGATCTGGCTCCTCCCCTATCAATCGCTAATTAAGAAAATGCTCAGCCTTGAGGTGGTGGTGCACACCTTTAATCCCAGCACTAGGGAGGCAAAAGCTGGAGGATCTCCATGAATTTGAGGCCAGCCTGGTCTACAGAAGTGAGTTCCAGGACACCTGAGGCTACCCAGAGAAACCCTGCCTCGAAAAACCAAACAAACAAAACCAACCAACCAACCAAACAAACCAACCCCCCAATAAAGAAAGAAGAAAGAAAAGAAAAGAAAATGCTCTACACGCTTGCCCACAGCTCACTATCATGGAGGCATTTTCCATTTTCCAGTCTCTTTCTGTGTACACAGACTGAGAGAACTCTAGCCCTGTAGAGTGAAGCGTGCGCCATTCTAGGCAGAAGAAAGGAGCAGGCAGAGAGCGCTTCCCGTCTGCTCTTTTAAATTGCCTGCCGCCCCTAACGGTCCTCACGGTAAGTGCTGCTTGTTCGAACAGCATGTTTGAATAGTCTTTGGAACCGTGCCCGGTAGCTGGAAGGCAGACATATATATCCATTCTTTTAAAAAAATCAAAAATTTTACTTTATTAATTATTGTACATCAATGCATATGTGTGTGAGTGCGGGCTCTCACAGGCCGATGGCCCATGTGTGGATAGTTCTTGGGAGTCAGTTTTCTCCTTCTACAGTGGGTTCTGGGGGAACCAGTCAGGTTCTTTTTACATTCTTCTTTAGGAGACTGTTTCTAGGTTGAGTCTGCATGGCCTACTCTGTACTCATATTTAAAATGAAAGACAGAGAGCTTAGGGGTTAAACGCTTAACTATTATGTCTTAATCACAAAATCAAAATTGGTGAATTTTACTTACTTCTGGCATCTGGGCAGTTGAACTCCACACAGCTGGCCTTTGGAGAAATACGACTTGCTTTGTAGCCAAATTTCCTTCACTGGAAGTTAAAACAATAAGATTAGTATTTGTGATTTAGGAATTTTCTTTTAATCCTAGAGAAATTCCAATTACTTTTTAAAGTTAAGAAAACGAACAAATGAAGCCCGGCGGTGGCGGTGCACACCTTTAGGCCAGCCTGGTCTTCAAGAGCAAGTTCCAGGACAGGCTCCAAAGCTACACAGAGAAACCCTGTCCAAAAAATAAAATAAAGAGCCAACAAATGGATTTCTGTGGCATTTCCACACACATAGGTCATTATACTTTGTTCTAACTAATTAGTAATTGTTTTCTATCTATATAAACAGTTGACTGGGGAAACCCACACATATTTTTTTGCAGGGTAATCCTCTGAGTCCCAAATAATTATGAAAATGATTCTATATAAACAGCATTGGAAAACCAAAAGAAAAAACCCTTCCATTAAAAGAAAAAATGGGGTGGGGGGATGTTGGACGATCACTCAGTGGTTGAGAGGACTGGTTGCTCTTCCAGAGGATCTGGGTTTGATTCTCAGCACCCACATGGTGGCTTGCTACGGGCTGTGACTTCAGTTCTAGGTGATCCAATGCCCTCTGTCCGTCTCCATTGGCGTCAGGTATTCACACGGCATACAAATAAGCATGCAGCAAAACATCCAGACACATACAAGTAAGAGACGACGCGGTGATGAGAATGGACTGGAGAGATGGCTGGGTGGTTAAGAACATGGGCTGCTCTTCCCGAGGACCTGGGTTTAATTTCCAACATGGACATAATAGCTTACAACTGCCTATAACTCCAATTCCAGAGGATCTGATGCCCTCTTCTGGCCTCTTCTTATATGCATTTTTGTGATGCACATAAATGCAGGGAAAACATTCACACACCTTAAAATAAGCCTAAAAGAATTTTTAAAAAGAGTTCATTTTCCGGCACCCATATCAGGTGGCTAAGGGTCCCCTGTAACTCCAGGCAGTAGGGACCTGGTGTCGTCTTCTCTCTTCCATGGGCACTTGCCCTCATGTGTCAGTCATTCCCACAGACATTTACATACACATAAATAAAACAAACAAATTAAACTGATTAAAAACGCTCTTAAGCAACACAGTCATTACAAAAAGCCACTTTTGGTTATAATCTCACCAGGTTAGCAAAATTATTTTCATTTCTTTGTTTCTTCTCTTGTACTTCTCAATACCTGTAGTTTTTACATACCTGTGACCACTGTGTATTTACATTTTATTTCCTTGTAGATGGTGGTGGTGTTTTTAATAGATGTCTAAGAGCTTCAAAGAAAAAAGACACCAGGATGTACTCTTTTCCCTTTAGTTTTGGAAAATTAGTCTGCTGCTAGTTCGAAGTCATGCCGCCATAAAAATATACATAGTTGTCCTCTTGTGAATTATTTCCTTAAGACGAATTCTCAGGAATGAGATAATTAGGTCAAAAAGCATGACGTAAGCTTCTTGGTATGCACTGTCAAATGAGAGACTGAATTTGGGAGCCGCATGTGGGGAATTTATATGTAGTTCAGCCACAGCTGGCTCCATTCACTCAGATGCTGTTTGTAGCAGCCACTCAGTATTCTCCTGTAGCTGTCATCATGGCAACTACCCCTCGCCAAAGATGACTCGGGTGGCATTCCTCTGAAGAGCTTCCCAGTCTCCTTGGGTTTGTGGGGAGGAGTGGTAGAGGCTAAAGTTGCTCAGTTACAACTTTTTTTATGCAAAGAACCCCAACAAAAGCTTACTATTGACTGTAGTTGGTCTGGGCTCTTTTTCTGGAAGATGAATGTGAGTGAAGCTTTGGCCCTACAGCCTGCAGTCAACGGGACACTAGCAGAGCATCCAGACTCCCGGGTGCCGCGAACCTGTGGAAATGAATCTTCCCCCAAAGTGCTAGGAGGAGACATTTTTATTTAATGTGCATTGTGTTTTTCAACAGGAAACTGGAAGTTACAGAGAGTTGTGAGCTGCCATGTGGTTACCAGAGATAGAACCTGGGTTCCCTGCAAGAACAGCCAGTGCTTGTAGCTGCTGAGCCATGTCTCCAGCCTATTACTTTTATTTTTAAAAGACTTCTTACACTCCAGTTTCATTTCAGTTTGATCTTACCTTCTTTCAGAACAGAACACTTTGTATGATGTAACTTTGGGGGATAAATTGTGAGGTGCTACAGAGAAGAGGTTAGCATGTAGAATGAACTTGGGCTGTGTTTAGGAGTCATGGGGTACACTGGAAAAGGCCAGGATTTGGGAACCAGACAGTTCCTGGGTTCAGACCCAAGCCCTGTTACAGTACCCACAGCTCATGGCCGTTGTGTTACGTAAGGCCCTGGGAGCATAAGGAGGAGTCTCCCTCTGCGCTCCGACACAAAGGAACACAAGTGTGTGATTTCTGGGGCTGGAGAGCTGGAGATCTGGCTCATTGGTAAAGAGCACTTGCTGCTCTTGCAGAGGACCTGAGTTCAGTTCCCAGCACCCACATGGTGCCTTGTAAGTGTTGGTAAGTAAGTCTAGTTCCAGAGGAACTGGCCTCTTTTTGCCTTTGTAGGAGGAATTTCAGGTAAAACATTCATACACATAACATGAAATAAATAGGGAGGAAGGAAGGAAGGAAGGAAGGAAGGGAGGGATGGTGGAAAGAAGGAAGGAAGGAAGGAAGGGAGGGACGAAGGGAGGGAGGGAGGGAGGAAGGAAGGAAGGAAGGTGTTCACGTCCATGTCTCTATCCACTTAGTACAATGTGAGGTGGAGTGTAAAATAATTTTTATAAGAAAACAGAATCTCAACCAAGAATATCTTTCGGAGAAAGAATTCAAGGGAAAGAGTTCATAGGAGAAAGAAGAGAGATTTCTGGGCAGTGTTCTAGTGAAAGACCTCGGCATCAAAGTGGGCCAGACCACTGGCTGCAAATGCAAGAGGTGATTTATTGAGTACACAGGCGCCTGCGGATGCTACTGCAACTCGGGTGCAGAGCTTATCGGGCTTGTAGGGAGTACAATATTTATAGAGTTTTAATGGTTACATAAGTATCAGCATAGCAACAGGCATTTCATTGGCTCATCTTGGGGGCAGGGGTAGTTCCCACGGACTAAGTTTCCTGGTATTACGTCATGAAAGACCCCAGCACACTTCAGCAATTATTATCCGGGTCCTATAACTACTATGGTGATCATAGACACAACTGGGGGTAGGGGTAGTTCCTACGGACTAAGTTTCCTGGTATTGCCACATAAAAGACCCTGGCACGCTTCAGCAATTATCCAGGTCCCATGACTGCTCTGGTGACCACAGATCCTGTTTGACATCCTGCCAGCTGGGCGAGGCACCTGGTCTGGGTTTTTTTCATTAGGCAACGGCCTGGCCTTGCTTTTCTTTTTCTAGGGGGTCCTGGGTAGGGGTCTTTCACTAGGTGCAGAATACTTGGGGGAACCAGGCCCAGACAAGAAGCACAGGTCAAGGCAGGTGGGTGGGTCCTCTAGCCAGTTAGAGGGTGGGGCAAGGACAAGCAAGGAAGAAATGAAGTAGTCTGTCTACCCTTCCCTTCTCACTCTTTCCACAATGCTGGAACACTTCTTCGTGTCAAGGACGAATGACCCCAGTGAGGCTCTGGCTGCAGAAGGGAGACACCTTTTGACAGTAAAGCTTCATAATCAGCGAATAAGTTTAGGCTATTTTGAAAAAGTCCAAGTTCTCATTTAGCATCTGGTTTAGTCAAGATTTCCATTTATAGTGTGTAGAGTACATTGTGGTGGAGAATAATGAGGAAAATCAAAACAAGTGTCTACCCCACCACCCCAAGGCAATCAGCCTGCTTAAACTTATAGGTCCTGATGTTAGCCTGCCAGGGGGGAAGAAGAGGAAGGAGAAGACTCAAGGCACTGAATCACCAAGTCAGAAATGAGTCATCAGAAGCTTTGCTTTAAAAGGCATGGTGGCGCATGCTCACCCTCAGTCATGATTGAAACTATAAATAGAAGAGGCTGGAGAGACTGCTCAGTGGTTAAGAGCACGTGTTGTTCTTCCAGAGAACCTGAGTTTGATTTCCAGCACCCAGATTGTGGGTGTCAACTGTCTGCAACTCCAGTTCTGGCTTCTGTGGCTCCTGTACTCACATGGTGTATAGACACATACTCAAGCACACACACAAACATACATTTAAAACAACAGCAGTCGGGTGTTGGTGGCTCACACCTTTAATCCCAGCACTCGGGAGGCAGAGGCAGACAGATCTCTGTGAGTTCGAGGCCAGCCTGGTCTATAAGAGCTAGTTCCAGGACAGGTTCCAAAGAACACAGAGAAACCCTGACTTGAAAACAAAAAAACAAAACAAGAAAAACAAAACAGCAAAAAGCTAAACAAAACAAAACATAGAAACAAAACCTACACAGAACATGCCATACTTTCCAGAATGGTGCCTTTTTGAAGTATAGCAGTATTTCATGCTTGAGCTGCTGCAAGTGAACCCAGAAGGAACCTGTTTGTGTTGGCTTGACATTTATGTAGCAAAACTAGACCAATGCCCCACGACCCAGCACTTCCACTTACAGAAAGCCCACAGGTGCACACCAAGGTTCCTGCTCAAGTTCGGAGGGACTGGTCATAACCACCAACCTAAGGCAAGCAAACTGTAGGGGATGGATAATGTGCAGGGTAACGGACACCTGTGGACTGTTCCTTTACACTGTGCGACTATATGTCACTGTGCCTGGGTTAATGAAGAAGCTGACTGGCCAACAGCTGGACAGGTAGAGGTTAGGCAGGACTTGCAGATAAAAAGAGAGCATGGAGAAGAAGGGGAGAAGTCTCATAACCTTCAGGAGATTGGGAGAGAAGGAGATGTACTTGCCATACTGAGAAAAGGTACCAAGCTACGTGGCAGAGCAAAGATAAGAAATATGGGTTAATTTAAAATGTAAGAGTTAGCTAGTAACAAGCCTGAGCTATTGGTGGAGCATTTATAATTAATAGTAAGTCTTTGGGGGGTTATTTGGATTCTAGACATAGAGCAAAGGATTACCAGCCTACAATCCACACCACCAGAGAAGCTAGGAAACAAGGAGGACTCTAAGAGAGACATATATGGTACCCTGTAGAAGGGGAAAGGGACAAGATCTCCTGAGCAAATTGGGAGGGGAGAGGGGGCTAGGAGAAAGAGAAGGGGAGAAGAGGAGGGGAGAGGAGGACTTGAGGGAGTAGGAAGGTTGAGTCAGGGGAAGAATAGAGGAGAGCAAGAAAAGAGATACCATAATAGAGGGAGTTATTATAGGTTTAAAGAGAAATCTGGCACTGGGGAAATGTCCAGAGATCTACAAGGATGACCCCAACTAACAATATAAGCAATAGTGGAGAGGCTATCTTAAATGCCCTTTTCTTTTCTTTTTTTTCTTTTTTCTTTTTGGTTTTACGAGACAGTGTTTCTCTGCATTATTTTGGAGGCTGTCGGTCCAGCCCGGCCTCGAACTCACAGAGATCCTCCTGCCTCTGCCTCCCGAGTGCTGGGATTAAAGGCGTGCGCCACCACCGCCCAGCAGGTCCAGCTTTATTTTGATATCCATAGTCATCACTCTTCTCTTTAATACCTCCATGGAAACTATGGACTAAATACCTTATGCTTAATGACTGTATTAAATTACAGAATTCACAAGCTTGATCTGCTCCTATCAGAATGCGAGCCTCTGGCTGTGTGTTAACACTGTGTGAAATGTAGAGTTGACATCTCATGAATGACTTCAAGACCAGAGACCATGGATCCTCCGCATCTTACCACTGGCAGATTGACCTTTTCTTTCTCAATTTCATTTTAAAATGATTGGAGAGTGTCAGTTTCTTTTTTCTTTTCTTTTCTTTTTTTTTGAGACAGGGATTCTCTGTATGGGATTAAAGGCGTGTGCCACCAACGCCTGGCCAGAAGTGTCAATTTCTTTTCTTTCTTTTTTTTTTTTTTTTTTTTGGTTTTTTGAGACAGGGTTTCTCTGTATTGTTTTGGAGACTGTCCTGGAACTAGCTCTGTAGACCAGGCTGCCCTCGAACTCACAGAGATCCGCCTGTCTCTGCCTCCCGAGTGCTGGGATTAAAGGCGTGCGCCACCAACGCCCGGCCAGAAGTGTCAATTTCTTATAAAACATAAAACAATAAAAACTGAATCAAAGCAAAGAAGTCCCCTTCCCTATTATGGTCTCAAGAGCTGGATATATCTAGAGTCACTGTGAAGCTGTTCCAAGGGTTGCTAGGCACATTAAAAAAATCTATAAAATTGGGATTATTCTCTAATATAGTCCTAAAACTTACCTTTAAAACCCATAGAAAAGCCAGGAGGTGGTGGCACATACCTTTAATCCCAGCAGCTGGGAGGCAGAGGCAGGTGAATCTATGTGAGTTCGAGGCCAGCCTGGTCTACAGAGAGAGTGCCAGGACAGTCAGGGCTACACAGAGAAACCCTGTCTTGAACCCCCCCCAAACCTATAAAAATTAAACTTTAAACACGTATTTTACATATATGGGTATTTTTTTCCTGTATATAAAATCACCACATTCATGCAGAATCTGTAAAACTGGAGCCACACATGTGGGTGCTGGGAATCAAACCTGGGTCCTCTGGAAGAGTAGCAGTACTTACAACCACTGAGCCATTGCTCCAGGCCCCTAAATCCTTAACAGTTGTCACAGAGGGATCCTACGACAATGTATATTTAGTGAGTAATTAGCTCCCCCCATTCTAATAGTATATAAAGATAAGCCTGGGGGGGCAGTAAGAAGCACATTTTCATGGTTACATAATGCCTAGAGGATCTGGGGTGCAGGAGAAATTTGCATGATGGTAGAGTTTTGGTGTTCCTCTCCCTCCCTTTGCTGTAGAACTACCATACGGCCAATCCAAGGCACTGGGTTGCTGCTAGACACAAAATGGCTTAGTGTGGCTTCATGTGTCACGACCTACCCCCATTTGAAGGTATACTTGGGGGTCGCAATATATTTTAGCTCCACCCTTAGGCTCAGTCTGGTCATTCCTAAACCGATCCTGACCGGACACAGGAAATGCCATTGGAGCCTATGTTCTGAGGCTCAGCAGAAGTGGGCTGGCTGCCAGATGTCCTGCCCATTCATTCCTAGGACTGTGGGAAATACTTAGAAGTGAGACCAGCTGGAATCCCTGAATGAATGGTAAGGAACAATTACACTTTTCCTTAGGGGAAGAGGAGAGGAGAGGTTCAGGATTTACTTGTTTTGGAAGGTCTGTAATTCTAAATGGATGAGTCGATGGACACCTAGGAGAACCATCAAAACCAGACAAAGAAGCCAGACATGGTGATAGCACACACATTTAACCTCAGCACTTGGGAAACAGACACAGGTGGATATCTGTGAGTTCAAGGCCAGCCTGGTTTACAGCGTGAGTTTCAGGACAGCCAGGGCTACACAGAGAGACGTTGTCTCAAAAACAAACAACAAACAAAACAAGAAAGAAAGAAACAAAGAAAAAAAAACCCAACCAACTAACCAAACAAACAAACAAACAAAAACCTTGTTGACAGCTTTGGACACACTGGATGTTCAGAAGGTGTATGTGGACCCCTGGATCAGGGCAGAGGAATTCCTTTGTCTTTCTGAAGTCCCTGATACAAATACCAGGGTCCCACCACTAAGCTGCTGTTTTACTGGGGTGGGCCCGCAGTGTTTGTGTCTTCATGGGCTCTTCTGGTAATTTACTTAGGGTTACTGCTGACTGAGATACGGCAGACATAGAAAGTTGGGAAACAGTGTTTTAGGGGGTCGGTTCTCAGTGTGAGGACAGTTCCTTCGGGTCTTAGGGAAACGGTGAGCTGTTTGCTCATCTCTCACTACTCTCTTGTGACCTTTAAACCTGAGTCTTATGTCCTTCATACCGCTGCCCACTTGAAAACACTGGTCTTAGATACCCACAGCTAAACACTGAACTGACCCCCTGGAACCCAGTGACAGAGATGGAGGAGTGATGAGCAAAGAGGTCAAGACCGTGCTGGTGAAACCCACAAAGACAGCTGACCAGACAAGGGGGAGCTCTTGAACCCCAGACTGATGGCTGATCCAGACTCCATGAAAGTAGTGTCAGTGAGGAGGCCTCAGAAATCTCTGGGGTCTTAGGTAGTAGATCAGTGTTCACCATGGCATACAAATGAAGTTTAGGAGCCCATTCCACATGGAGGGATGCTCTCTCAGTCTAGACACATGGGGAAGGCCTAGGTCCTGCCCTGGATGAAATGACAGACTCTGGAGATCCCCCCATGGAGGGCCTCACCCTCTCTGGGGATTGGTGTGGGGACTGGGTGGGGGGCTAAAGGGGAGGCTGGTGGAGGGACAAGGGAGGAGGGGTGGGAGAGGGAGCTGGGATTGACATGTGAAGCATTCATGTTTCTAATAAAACATATATTGAGGGAAAAATAATCTGTTTAACAGATGCAGACATTTATCACTGAACCTGCCCTACTTTGTGTCAACACATTTTCTAAGAAAAAAGAAAAAAAAAGAAAAAACTGGTCTTTTTCTCAAGCAGTGCCAATCACAGATTTTTACGGTCTGGGGGAGGACCCAAGGAGATGAGTGAGACCAGGAAGTGGGGGTTCTCACACCTGCTCTTAGTCACACACGGTGGCCATTTGCCCTGATGGCAAGGTCCCTGGGGGCACTGTGCCACCTGAGGTACAGGGCAGTCCATGAGGGAGCGTCTAGGGGTGGAGGGGACGGTGAAGCATTTTACACCTAAGCATCAATCAGCCTCTTTAGAAAATGAAGTGATAAGATAGGGTGACTCAGACCTTCTTCCCTAAGAACACAGTGAGCAGGGAAGGAGAGGGAAGTGCTCACTTGTGAGCTGCTGCATTCTAGCTGCAGTGGAGGCCGTCAAACAACAAAGCCATGGGGGCAGGGGACAGGGGACAGGGGACAGGGGACGTATTACCCGTCACACTGGGGCAGGTGGGAGAGCGAGGTAGCCAAGGCCAGCCCACGAGCTGCAGCCCGGCTCGTGCTGGGACAGTTCTGCCCAGAGTGAAGCGATCAAGAGTGAGTACATCTGTACGACGAAGTGATGGGATATGCTAACCTCCGAATTCTATGAAGTCAACACCAGAAGCGTTTCTCATCAGCTTCAAATAAGCATTGGTTGATTTATCTCAGAGATGGAAAGATCTTAGAATTAGATGCGTAAGTGAGGATACGTGGGCATTACCTGTCGTGTCTCAATATGGGTGTGGGCAGCACGCTTGTGAGAAGCCATCCAAATTCAGCCAGAGTGTGCAGCAGTGGGCCGTAGTCTGTTTTGATTTCACAGCCCTGTGTGAAAAGCATAAGAGATGAGTCTAATGGCAAAGACAGCGGGCCACACAGTTGCTACGATGAGGAGCGGCAATGGGTGTCGTGGGACTGCAGCCTCCAGAGCCCCATCCTCGGGAACTCCTGCCTCTTCGTAGCACCACAGCTGGACAGTGGCCATTCAGTCTGGTCTTTGCTCCCGGGAAAGCCACAGTTCTCAGATTCTAATGTGTGGAGCTGGGGGAACCTGCATGTTCAAAGCTCCTTGGGGCATTGGCTCCATGAAGCCTACAAAGTAGGTTCAGCAAAGTAGCCTGGGGACTGGGAGAGAGGAGGAGAGTGGGCAGTGGAGCCCACCGGGCCTGGCTCCGGCTCTCCAAGTGTGGTAGTGAGGCTGCAGGGGCCTGGGTGTGTGGTCTCTGTTCTTGCCTCACTGGAGCTGGTCTTCGCTCGCAGCGTTACTTAGCACCCATTCCTTTCCACAACCCCTACAGAGGAGGCTCCATTTCTCTGAAAACGAGTTCTGGCCTCTATGGTCTTAGTACGACCAGAAAGTCAAAATATTTCCTTGAAAGACCCTGTTTGTGAGGGCTCCAGACACACAACAGATATACCTGAGATATCTGCCAACCTCAAGGGCAGTGGTCGGAGACATTTGAATTCATAAATTCACAACCCCTCCAGCAGTGTCATCTCTGATTATAAAGGACAGTGCTGTGTGCATAGATCTGGCTTGGCGTGTGCAAAAAAATCTATGGATGTTTTCACTTCAAAATCAATTTATAAGGTTAAAAAAAGCGTATCGTGTTGATTGCTCTGAGGTTAAAGACTGGTTGTGACTGAATTGTTATTTCCAGTCAATTACCAAGGCATTTTTGTAGTGAGAATTTCAGCATTGGGGGTTTGTTCAGGGATAGAATCTCAGATTTGGGGGAACCTACTTCTATTTTGGTGGAGACAATTATTATTATTATTATTATTATTTTGCTGTTTTCCTGAAACGTTTGGAAACACGGGTAAAGCATATGGAAGAAGTTTGTCCATTCTTTTATGATGACATTGGTTATCTGTGTTTAAGGATACTGCGGGCACCAAGCAATGATGATCTTTAGTATGTAAAATCACAAAAGGAAGGCAGAATTCTCAGAAACTGCAGCTCACCTCAATGACGGTCCACTGTTCCACCACAATGGCGTCATTCCCTTTCCTGCTAGAACCTGGAACTCCAGATCCTTCTTCTTCATAGATAAAAAATCCTTCCAGAGATTTAGGCAAATGGTCCCCTGTCGGGGAAAGGATAGAATTCAGAAGAGTCATAAGTAAACCATACTGCTTCCAAGCATCGCCAAGATCCTTGGGGTAGCTGTGACAGCAAGCTGGAAGAAACCTTGTCAGCCAGAAGCTATTTCCTCTTGTGTGTGTAGCCCCAGGGTCAGTCCCAGCATCACACAGTGACAGAAGCTAGGTGAGGTGGCTCACACTTGTAATCTCAGGACTTGTGAGCAACGGTAGGAGGATCAGGAGTTTAAGGTCATCCTCAGCTACACAAGTTTGAGGCCAGCCTGAGCTACCTGAGATGTTGTTTACAACATTAAAATGTGCTGGAGAGATGCCTTAGCAGTTAAGTGTGCCTGCGGCTCTCCAGAGAATGGAGCTCAGTTCCCAGCACCACACTGGGTGGCTCACAATTGCCCAAGCTTCAGCTCAGGGAATCCCATACCCTCTTCCGGGCTCCATGGGCACTTGCACACATAGGGATAGGAGAGCACATGTATGCACACACACAGACACATACATACATGTAAATAAAAAAAATCTTTACTGAGAAACCCACTTAAAACAAAATTTATTTTGGTTGAGTCCTTTTCCCCCATAGGTAAGACTTATATTTCACTGAAATAAAATCAAACATAAACTACCATAGCAGAAACACGATGAAATATGAGGACAGATGGAATGTCAATCCCAGAAGCACTGGAAATGACCTTCACCTTGAAACAAGATCTTGGTTTGTGATCTAGTATGGTTTATATTAGACCACCAATGGAAACATGAAAAATGTTATTCCTTGAAATTACAGGTGTAATAGTAAATCAGTGTGTGGTAAGAGCTTAAGGAACAGTAAGCACAGGCCTAGGGAGATGGCGCCATGGTTAAGTGCTTGTTGCAAGCATTGGGAGGGACCTGGTCTCCAGCATCAGACAAAAGTCGGCCCTGGGCGGCAGACAAGTGTTTACTGACCTGTGGCCTGGACAAAATGACAAGCTTCAGGTCCAGTGAGAGACCCTGCTCCCCAAAATAGGGTGGAGAGTGACAGAGAAAGATAGCTGGGTGTTGGGCGCTCTCTCTCTCTCTCTCTCTCTCTCTCTCTCTCTCTCTCTCACACACACACACACACACACACACTCATAAATATGGAACAATTCTTCTTTACCTCAGTGCATTAAAAAGTCCCAAGTTCCCCATAACAGTGACAGGAAGACTCTAACAGAAGTCATTGTCCAAGAATTCCTGCCCGGAAGGAAGTTTTAAGGGAAGGCCTCTCTGATTTTTTTCTTGAATAGTTGACAATTACCATCTGGCCTAAACTAAAGGATTTAATGGAAATTCTTTTGTCTCCTATTTTGCAATAGAAGACATTTTTTCTCATAGTCGTGTGCTGGGTAAACATTGTAAGTTTTATGTAGTACATGTCACATCAAATTTCCCTGTTTGCCATAGAAAACAAAATTGCTTTGTTACAATTATAATATATATATAGTAATTGTGTAATAATTAATTGTAGTGGAGAAATTTGTCTTTGCCTATAAATATGTGGTCATTTATGAGAAGTTTTAATAAATATTGTCATTTTAAAGCAAATATTCCAGTTAACTTACATCATGATGTGCTCATATTTCACCTTGGGGGAATGGTGAATATATTGCTGAATATGATTCAAGTATATTCTGTACCTTATGTTTATGCTTTAATAAGGAACATATTTTCTAATTTATCAGCACAGTCATTTTTATTCTATTGTCACCATCTGCATTAAAAACGATTTGTCCTAAAAAAGATTCCTGTTTCTGAATAATAAAGGCTGGCAAAGGCAAGGTTTTCACATGATTAAGCTTAAAGATAAAGACAAAACTAATTTTAATGTCATTTTTAGTTTTATTTTTTATTAGGAGACTAAAATGTGAGAGCAAATTGGTTCTTGCTTTTTTTTTTTAATTTTTTTTTGGGAGGGGGGCGCAGATCCTCTGTGTAGCCCTGCATGTGTCGCCTTTTGTAGATCAAGATGTTCTGGAACTCAGAGAACCACTCACCTCTGCCTCCCAAGTGCTGGCATTAAAGGAGTTAGCCACCACCGCCTGGCATTTGCTTTCAATTTGGAAGCACAGGCACTTCTACTTCCATACTTCCAACCTTTTTTTCTTTTTTTCTTTTTTTTGAGACAAGGTAGTCTAAAACTTGCTAAATAAACCAGGCAGACCTCAAACTCAGAGATTTGTCTGCCTCTGAAATTAAAGGTGTGTGCTACCACACTCAGCCCTAAACTTTAAAAAAAAATTACATCTATCTATCTACCTATTTGTTGTCTCTGTCTGTCTCTGTCTCTCTGTCTCTGTCTCTGTCTCTCTGTCTCTCTGTCTCTCTGTCTCTCTCTCTCTCTCTCTCTCTCTCTCTCGTATGTGTGTGTGTGTGTGCAGTGTATGTGTATGTAGTATGTGTGCACAGTGTATGTGTATGTAGTGTGTGTGTGCAGTGTATGTGTATGTAGTGTGTGTGCACAGTGTATGTGTATGTAGTGTGTGTGCACAGTGTATGTGTATGTAGTGTGTGTATGTGTGTGTGTAGTGTGTGTGTGTGCAGTGTATGTGCATGTAGTGTGTGTGCACAGTGTATGTGTATGTAGTGTGTGTGCACAGTGTATGTGTATGTAGTGTGTGTGCACAGTGTATGTGTATGTAGTGTGTGTGCACAGTGTATGTGTATGTAGTGTGTGTGCAGTGTATGTGTATGTAGTGTGTGTATGTGTGTGTGTAGTGTGTGTGTGCAGTGTATGTGCATGTAGTGTGTGTGCAGTGTATGTGTATGTAGTGTGTGTGCAGTGTATGTGTATGTAGTGTGTGTGCACAGTGTATGTGTATGTAGTGTGTGTGTGCAGTGTATGTGTATGTAGTGTGTGTGCAGTGTATGTGTATGTAGTGTGTGTGTGCAGTGTATGTGTATGTAGTGTGTGTACACAGTGTATGTGTATGTAGTGTGTGTGCAGTGTATGTGTATGTAGTGTGTGTACACGGTGTATGTGTATGTAGTGTGTGTATGTGTGTGTGTGTCTCGCCCGTGGTGTTTGTGGAGTTCCTAGGACAACTTGGTGAGTCAGTGCCCTCTTCTTCCCCTGTGGATCCCTGCCCTCAGACATGGCTGCAGACACCTTTACTCACAGGACCATCTCACTGACCCACTTCTAAGCCTTTTGGTTTAAAAGAAAGCATGGCAGATTTGTACAATCCAAACAACACAGAAGTGAAAATGAAGCTCATTGAAGTGCAATAGCGTTAGTGAAGCCAGATACAAAAGACTACACCCTGGAGGTGTGGGTAGCCTATGCCTGTAGTCTCAGCATTTACCAGGCTAAGGTCGGGGGATTTTGCTGAGTTCAAGGCCAATGTGGGCTATAGAATGTGATTGTCTCAAAAAACCCCAAACAACTGGGACCAAGTAGTACAATCTGTGGGATAACTCTGTAGAGTCCAAAACAGGCATCCCAGGAGCAAGTGGTGAGGAGCAGATGGGTGCTCATCTGAGCTGGGGTGATCCTGCCTGGGAAGGGTCATGGGAAGCCTTCTGGAATCCCGTGAATGGTCTATTCCCTTTAGCTACACACCAGACGAACGTATTTGACTCTGTATAATGTACGTCAGCTAAAACTGACGTCCTTGCTTTAGACTCGCAAGCTGGCTCTCTCAGTGCTCAACTGGAGCCATCAATGCCTGAGTCTAAGCTCTGGGAGGGAGCTCTCAGTTTTTGAAGCATTCTCCCAATAGAAGTGGCAGCAAGGGTGAGCATCAGGGAAGGCTTTGTGGCGATAACATTGCATAAGTCAGAGCTTCCCCACCAATGGGCCTTCACCCACCAGGGGTTTTGGGGAAACTGGTTTCAGGTACATCAAAACACAGGGCACCACCTCCTGCCCAGAGAAGGTTTGTCCACACATAGCTGCGTCTGACAGTGGTTTCAGAACATTCTGGAAATGGTAGGAAGCCCTGTATGACTCACTGTTCTCTCTCTCTCCCTGTCTTCTCCCCTCTGTTCCTCCTCAAAACCCTGCCTCCTGAATATAACACCAGTCAAATGCATTGTGTTCTACTTCTGGGTAGGGGTGGAAGTGAAACTCAGCTTCTTCAGTGTCAATGGTTTGTCTTACATGCAATTTTGCCTTCCTTTTTTTTTTGTTTTTTTTTGGTTTATCGAGACAGGGTTTCTTTGTAGCTTTGGGGACTGTCCTGGAACTCACTCTGTAGACCTGGCTGGCCTTAAGATCTGCCTGCCTCAGCCTCCGGAGTGCTGAGATTAAAGGTGTGCCCCACCACCACCAGGCCATACCTTACAAACTAGGCACTGCTGGGATTTGAACCCAGATTTCCTCTCAAATATATTCATTTTAGCTGGCGGAGGTAGCACAAACCTTTAATCCCAGCACTGGGGAGGCAGAGGCAGGTGGATCTCTGTGAGTTCGAGGCCAGTCTGGTCTACAGAAGGAATTCCAGACTAGCAAAGTGAGCTCTCATCTCCAAAACAAACAAACAAACAACCCCCACCAAAACAGTCTCTAAAAACAAACAAACAAACAAACAAACCATTCATCTTGACTGGTTGTAGGTAGTACACACTTCTAATCTCAGTTACTTGGGAGGCTGAGGCAGGAGGATTGTAAATGTGAGGTTAGCCTGGGTAGCTTAGTGATACCCTTTCTCAGAGCGAAACACAACACCTCCCTACCCCCAAGAAACCCCAAAAGGCTGGGGACTAGCTTAGTTGTATTGTAGAGTGCTTGCCACTGCTTGCTGAGGCTGGGGACTAGCTTAGTTGTTTTGTAGAGTGCTTGCCACTGCTTGCTGAGGCTGGGGACTAGCTTAGCTGCAGATGCTCGACACTCCTTGGTGAGGCTGAGGACTAGTTCAGCTGTGAGTGCTTGCCACTTGTTGGTGAGGTCCTGGATTTGACCCCCACACCACAAAACAGAAACAAATACATTCGTTGTATGTAAAAAATAACAAGCTTGTCCACACCTTCCTTTTCTTCAAAAACAAAACAAACTTCATTCTATTTTTTCCCCTTCTTAATGTTCCAGGAAGGTTTATCCTGCAAACCTGTGTCTTGTGACCTTTATCCTCCCTGGCACTGGAGTGAATGTCCTAAAGGTACTTATGAGTGTGTCACAAAGCATGAAGCTGAAGGATTCCCTGAGAACAGATTACCTGTCCCCGACATGTGATCTTACATTATTCCTTTTTGCTAGATGTGACAACGATATTAATGTAAATGTGAGGAACACAGGCACTCCATTTCTGGAGTTTTGGTCTACACGTCATATTTCTTATTAAGCTGTCCAAAGGTGAGTCCAGGACGTCTGTGAAGTGGAGGGCAGGTGTTCATGGTCATTGCTATTCTGTCTCTCTACCATGGGCGTCCTATCAAAGCGAGTATCAGCCTCTCTAGGGGCTGCTGGAGACATCAGCTGTGGTGGCTTGAGTGAGAATACCTCCATAGGCTCGTAGATTTGAAGACTTGGTCCCCAGTTGGTGGACCTGTTTGGGAAGGACTGAGAGGTGTGACTTTGTAGGAGGAGGTGTGCCTCGGAGGGCGGGCGTTGACAGCATTCCCCATTAGTGCTCTCTTCTTGCCTCCTACTTGAGGATAAGGATGTCGGCTCTCAGCTACTGCTCCATTGCCATGCCTGCCTGCTGCCTTGCTCTCTGCCATGATGGCCATGGACTCTAACCCTCTACAACTGTGAGCCCCAGATTAAAAAAAAAAAGAATGAATTGCCTTAGTCTTCATGGTGATAGAAAGGTCACTAAGACGTCAGTCTCTCTACTTTTGCCCTTCACGGTCCCTGTCTCCAAATGAAGTCAGAGAAGTCCTTTTAAAATGCAGATCAGATCATGACTCTCTTTTAGAATTTTCAGCCAATGAATTGAAATAACAATCCTGCATGCTGGGTAAGGTGGCATACTCTGATTTTGGAGATGATTCAGTAGATAATGGCACTGTAGTCACGCTGGTGACCTGACTTCAGTCCCTAAAACTCGTGCTGTAGAAGGAGAAAACTTGCCCTTGGAAGTGGTCCTTTGACCACCACATGTGCACTGTGACAAGCACACCCCCACCGCACTCCCAGAATTAATTAACTAATTAAAGCCGGCACACCCACTCCACCTTGTTGGCCACACTGCCTCCTAGTTGTGCAAATGAGGGCACATGATTTAGTGGCTATACACCTCAGTTTTCTCACAGGATTACTTTGAGGATGAAACGAGTTATTCCACACCAGGTTTAAGATAATGAGAGCAAGTAAAACGCCACTGCTTTATCGATGTCCAGGACTCTGCATGGATGGCTCCTGCCTGCCTTCCTACCTTGTCTAGAGCTGTCTTTCCCTACATCCCCTGCTCCAGTCACACAGACCCTTCAGGTTCCTCTTGACTGCTCTGTGCTCTTCGCCCCAAATCTTACATGCCTGCCTCCTATAGCCTCCTAGTTGCAGTATGGTGACTACCTTCTTGCATGTATGTTTGTGTATGTGTGTATACGTGTGTGGTTGTGTGCGTGCTACAGCATGTGTGTGGAGATCAGAGGGGCAACTGGCAGGAGTCAGGTCTCTCCTTCTCTATCATGTGGGTCCTGGACAGCTGGACTTAGTTGGCCAGGCTTCGCTTTTTTCCTTTTCTTTTCTTTTTTTTAAATCTCTGAGCCAGTTTGCTGGTCCCAGGTCACCCTTTCTGGTAGATTCTTCCCTGGTTCTCTTGTCACAATATTCCATTGGTACACTCTGAATATTCTTCTTACTTTTGAAAGTGTGTGTGTGTGTCTGTCTGTCTGTTTTGGTACTGTCACAGCCTAACTGCTTGGCACCCACACTTGCTCATTACACCTCAACCTTATGCCCGGCCCCCCCTCCCCCCGTACTTCTCCTTGGAGTACCTTGAAAGGAAGAGAATCCTCAGTCAGTCAGAAGGGAGCTTTAAAATTTGTCATAAAAGGTGGGGGTAGAAGAGGGAGACTTTACCCTGGGGATGGTCCCCCTGCCCTCTCTGGTGTGTGTGTGTGTGTGTGTGTGTGTGTGTGTGTGTGTGTGTGTGTTCATCCCCAGGGGAATGTTCAAAACAAAGAAGACTGAAGGTGTGTGGCAGGACACTGCAGAGGAATTTCACAGATTTTACAATGTTCATGGCAAGCTCTGCTAAGGTAGGTAACGTCTCAACATGGCCTCCACTCTGCCTCTGTTTCTGAGCATTTTCTCCAGTGTGGTTTGTGAACTAATAAGTCTGGTTTTGTAGCTCTAAGTTCTCTGTAGTGATCTGATTTCCGGCAATATTTGGGATGAGGACAGAAGCAAGGCAGCAAAAATACGCATTGTTTCCCTGTGTGTTTGGGATGCCAGGCATCAAACATTCAGAACAAAGAGTCCAATTCAGCCCTGCTTCTTCTTGCTGGCTTCTCACAGTTGCTGGCTTCTCACAGTGACAGACACTGCTGGTCAGTGCCCCCTCTGCAGTGTCCTGGACACTGTGGGGAAAGTCCTGGTGACCCCAGAGACTGAGATGGATGGTAGAGGTCTGACAACGATTGCATCCAACAATGTCTGAAGAGACATTCCAGAGCTGTTGACGGAAAGAAAACCTCCCTGGGGCTCTAAGAACTAGAGCCACACACACCTAAGCAACTGCTGAAGCTCATTTTATGTTCATCAGGTCCAGCCCAAGGCGGGAATGCCTGAAAAGAATAGGTTTGCTTTTCTTTAGGTCATTTGTCGCCAACTTAGATGCTGCAAAGAGCAGGGGGAGAAGAGAGGAGAGGGAAAGAGACAGTGTGAAGCACAAAACCAGTTTCAAACATGATCCGTATGGAACATGTGACACTGCATGTAACGCATGCCAGGAAGGAAGGCACCAGAAAGAGCTCTGCTGTAGCTCGGTGCTGGGCATCTCATCTGCACTGCTCTCACTCACGTCTCACAGCGGCAGAGTGACTTTCATACCCCCTTTAGGAAGCAGCTTCCGTCAGCCCATCTGATTCCCCAGTTCACAGAGCTAGTAAGTAGAAGCAGACCTTAGACCTTGGTCTATAGATTCTTAAGGCCTCTTTCTTCTCATGAAGCCTTGCTATTTCCAAACAAGACTAAATTGGAAGAAGTTTCCAGTAGTCAGAAAACCCTGAGTATTTGTTGGGCACCTGCTGTGTGCCAGTCATCTCTGCCAGAAGCTGTGTTTGAGGCAGGCATGCCTTGGGCTTGGCTCTAGTTAAAACGATCTTCTGGAATGTGACTCCTGGACACACTACGTTCCATCCAGCCTTCTGTTACACAGGGGCGGTGTTAGAAGGCTAGTTTAAGAACAGGGTGGTCTCACGACATCATGTCTGATTTCTCCTTCACTCTTGGCTCCATCCAACCTCGTCAAGCTTAAGGCCCAGAGCAATCCCAGCCCCCACCTTCTGATGCGTTCTCTCCAATCTGCCCACTCTTTCCTTTTCATTTCTTTGAACACTAATCTCTTAAACTCCTTTTTGGGGAAGTCTTTGTTTTTGTGACAAGACTGGTTATGTACTATACTGTAACTCAAATGACAAAGATTAGAGGAAGACAAAAGAATGGGTCCGTACCTCTGATTTCTTTCCCACACAAATGATAGAAGTAGCCAGAAATATATATAACTATATACATTGTACCTACTGCCACATAGTGGGATAATATATCAAATGGAGACATTAACTATGGGATGTTACCCTGATCTTCCTGACTGGGCTGTTGTAGCACACTATTCTTAGAAATTCCTACTGGCCAATCCCCCCCACGGCATGTCTGTTCATGATGGTTCTTACACAATAGCAAACATTACATAACAGTTCTACACTGGCCAAGGGTTTCCATTTGCTCTTAAGGATAGTAAAGCTTTTCTTTAAAAAAATTTTAAATTACACTTTGTTTATCTCTATGTGTGTTTGCTGTATGTGTGTGGACACACGTGTATCACATGCATGCCTCTACATCCGTGTGGAGGGCGGAGCTCAACTTGGGGGGTTTGGGTCTACTTCTACTGTGGGTTCTGAGGACTGAAATCAGGTTGTCAGGTTTGGCTGCAACTTCCTTTACTGACTCATCTCACTGGCCAAAGCTTTTAAATTGAAGCTACAAAACTGTACAATGACTCGAATATATTTTTAAAAGAATTATACCCATCCTTATAGCCAAAGAACTTGAAAGGAAAAAATACTTTCAGCAGTTCTGACACAAATCCAGATTATTTACATATGAATGTATTACTAATGTAAAACTCACCTTTAGGTGTCTCCCAGCATACAAAAGAGTCAACTAAAGACAAGCCTTGCTTATAATAAAATGTAGTTAATTCTAGCCAGTTGGCGTCAAGTGTGTTGATGACAGCTCCTTTCCTTGTCACTTTCATGGACAGGATACCTTCCTGATAGGTCCAGCAGGTTGAATCCTCATCGAAAGCATTGAAGACCATGTACAGCTTGTGATCTGGGGTTAGGCATTCAGGAAAAAGGGGAGAGGCCATCATAATCTCACTGATCAAAAATTCTTAAATAATTTGTTCTTCATGAGACATTACAAACACACAAATAAACATAGAAAAATAAAAGTACCCCCCACTTAATTAAAAAATTATATGTATACATGTTTGTGTTATGTGCCTGTGTTTGGATGCATGTCCACTGGTGTGTGCAGATTTGTAGAGAGACCAGAGGTTGATGCTGGGTGTCTTTCCCAGTCCTTCTCTATCTTAGGTTTTGAGTTAGGGTCTCTAGCTGAACCCAGAGCTCATGATCTGGTCATCTTGCCTACCTGTCTAGCATTGGGGCTACAAGCATGCACTCACATCTGCCTTTTATGGGGGACTCAGCATCAAACTCAAGACTTGATGTTTGTGGGACAAGTGCTGTACTAAGTGACCTTCATATCCTCCCACCCCCAACTCAGTTTAATGTTAGTATTATGCCACATTAGCTTTGAATTATTTCTTCACAGAAACAAGACAATGAACACAGTACTATGTATTACGCTACTATGTACTACTATATAGTATGTACCTAGCAGTACACAGTCCCCAATCCCAGTCTCTAAATATAACCGCTAGAGTGAATTTGGTATTTATTGTTCTCACAAAAGCTTTTAGTTTTTACACCCACAGTTATATACCATATAAATAGTTCACTGTTTAAAAAATGCTTTAACAGGGGTTGAGGGTTTAGCTCCGTGGAGAGAACTTGCCTAGCAGGTGCAAGGTCCTGGGTTTGGTTCTTAGCTCCAAAAACCAAACCAAACCAAACCAAACCAAAACAAAAAACCCAACAAGAAAGCAAAATCTACACGGTGTTAACAGTATACTGTTCCATATCAATCTGGTTGTTTCTCTAGGAGTTCCTACGCTCTGCCACGCACGGATGCTGAGCGTGTCTCAGACTCGGGACTCCACTGTGCCCTCCAGGGCCAGTGCTGATCAAAGGTTTGGAGCAACTGTCAGCTTGCTGGAGCTTCTTATGTGCCAGGCACTGGACTGTTTCTCCTTGACAACCCTGTGAGAGAGGCTCTGCAATTGTCCCCTTCACACAAAGACATTGAGGTGTTTTTTCCAGAGACCATGTTTACTCCATGGTATGAGGGTCTTTAATTTTCTTTGATGTTGCTTTTTGAAAAAACATTCCTGCAAAGATGTCAGGAAACTTTACACAGTCAAAAATACAAGAGAAAAAATACTCTCAGTTTCTTGGGAAAACTTAAGAGAAGGACAGAACTATTGTCTACAGTTATTTCTGGCTGTGGACGCTATTGTTACAATAACTGACTCATCATGATGTTCCATTGTCATAGTGTAGCGATGATCAAGGCATGTCCATTGATTTCAAAAGTGAGGAGCATGCATGAAATGGGAAAGGCCTGTGCTGAGATTCTCACACGGCTTACCAGACAGCTGTAAACCAAGCTACTTTCTCAGTCAAGTCTTTCCTTTGTTCCCCCCCAAGACAGGGTTTCTCTGTGAACCAGCCCTGGCTGTCCTGGAACTTGATTTGTAGACTAGGCTGACTGGCATTAAAGGCGTGCGCCACCACTGCCTGGCTGTCCACTTGTAGCACACGTACAACCTTTTGTTTTAGAAGAGGGCTAGGTGGCTGTATTACGTGGATGGCTTGCAGGGTCAGTAGGAGAACTAATGTCTGAAACATTGCCTTGCCTTATTCCTGGCTATAATTACTTAAAAACAACCCCACAAGATTGGATTAGTTCACTGTCCTTACAACCTGCAGAAATTAATATTGTCTTTAAAATAAAGATACAGTTTGGGGAACAGTACATCCTCTTTCCATCCATGCTTTTACCTCCTCCCCGCTCTGGTTTAGAGTAGCTGGGGCTGCTGTTTCCTTCTGTCTGATGTCCACTTTCCAGCTGAGGCTCCTCCTCCACTCCACTTGCACATGAATGTCCACTGACGTCTCCATCATTCCCGCTTTTGCAGTTGTCGTGTGAACCATGTCTCCTGTGTAGTCCCAATTCTGCATCTCCGTCATGACTGGTTCCGTTACAGTGTTCAGACGGCAAGTAATACTGTGATATGATTCCAACAAATTTCATCCCTCTTTTAGCAGCAGCGTTAATCTGAGGTTTAAAGAGATGGCAGGGCCAAGGTAAATCCCATGTATGACTCAGTCAACTAACTTTAATCCTAGGAGGCCATTAGAAGATAGAATAAACTGACCAGTAACTAAGCCACACTTATAAACCAGAGAAACCACTAAAGTACATCAGCCCAAAGATCACGTGTCAGTATCAGCATGACATGTCAAACATAACTAATGTTTCAGAGGTTATAAAGAGAGAACCATATTTTCCTCTGAAATTCCACCACATTTGGCAAGAACTAGTAAATTTTATAGCATGATTTTTGGAGATGGTTAACAATAATCTTTCCAGTTGGAGCAAAAGTAAAGACTGTTCCGAACACTCCCCAAAATAACTGAAGCAAATACAACCTCACTATTTTTTTTATAACCTCACTATTAAAGGAAACATTAATTTAAAAACAAAAAGCACACAGCACTATCTGGTGTTGATTAAGACAGATATTAAGAGGCGTTGGTGGCACACACCTTTAATCCCAGCACTCGGGAGGCAGAGGCAGGCAGATCTCTGTGAGTTCGAGGCCAGCCTTGTCTACAGAGCGAGTTCCAGGACACCCTCCAAACCAATACAGAGAAACCCTGTCTCGAAAAACCAAAAAAAAAAATGCACGTATGAAACATGAATCCAGTTCTTGGCTCAACTGTGAGGAAGCGTTCTAATCTGCTTTACCGCTCGATATCTGCCTTTTACCTGGACCAACACATACAATCTGATTTGATCCCGTCAGTTAGCATATAGTGTCTGAAGCAGACAGATGACATGAAGTCATCGAAGTAATTTGGAATCTTTCTTTTTTTTTTTTTTTTGTTTTTTTGAGACAGGGTTTCTCTGTATTGTTTTGGAGGCTGTCCTGGAACTCACTCTGTAGACCAGGCTGGCCTCAAACTCACAGAGATCCGCCTGCCTCTGCCTCCCAAGTGCAGGGATTAAAGGTGTTCGTGACCAATGCCTGGCTATAATTTGGGATCTTAGCGGTGGTGATTTTCATGTTTGGTACTATTTCCATTCAAATACTTATGAGACTGTTATCTTATTTCCTCTAAGTACACAGTGCCCAAGATCTAAGAGTTTTCTTCTCAGCTCTGTGTGAATGTTCTTATTTATTCGTTTTACATACCAATCACAGTTTCTCTTCCCTTCCCTCCTCTCCTACTGTTCCCATTCCCCATCTCCCTTCTAAGCTTCTCCCCCATCCACTCCTCCTCCATTTCCATTCAGAAGGAGTAAGGCCTCACATGGGAGTCAAAGTATGGCATATCAAGTTGAGGTAGGACCAAACTTCCCCCCACCCCCATCAAGGCTGGACAAGGCATCCCACCATGAGAAATAGGTTCCAAAGAGCCAGCTCATGTGTCAGGGACTGATCCCGGTCCCACTGCCAGGGGCCCCACAAAAGACCAAGCTACACAACTGTCACCCACATGCAGAGGGGTCTAGGTCAGTCCCATGTAGGCTCTCTAACTGTTGGTCCCAGAAGCTTGTGTCAGGCTGGCCTTAAACTCAGAGATCCTCCTGCCTTTGCCACCCGAGTGCTGGGATTAAAGGTGTGTCCCACCATGCCTGGCTCAGCCCTGTCAGTTATTTTCATGGTCACTGTTTTAACATCTAAATTGAACGTTTTAAGTGTTACCCGGGAGAGAGTCATGATGGAGGTCAACGACAGAAACACTGACAGAATGAAGTGGGATTTTCAAAGGCAGGAAGAACTGGAGAAAATGAAGAGCAATGCGATCAAAGGGGCCACTTCCGGCTGGCCTGGAGGACGGAGGAGCCACTTCCGGCTGGCCTGGAGGACGGAGGAGCCAGAACTCGGGACTGTGGCCAGCGCAGCCTCATTCCTTCCTCTAACAGTTACAGTCTGAGATTTAACACTGTGTGGAGACTTGGACATGCACACAGTTTTGAGCTCCCAAGTGTCCTGGGAGAGAAGAGGGAGGTATGAGGGGGTTCGGCATTCTGTGAGTAGAAAGGGGTAAATTTCTTGTCAGTGTCCTTTCTAGGTATTAGATTTGGTGGAGACGTCTCGTACTATACCAGATACTTTATTTTTCTTCTGGAAAAATCTAGGAACACATATATTGGTGTCTTTTCCATTTAATTACATTTATTTATTTGTGTGTGTACAGGAACACACATGTGTCACAGTGTGATGTACATGTAGTGGCAGGGGACAGCTTGTAAGAGTTAGTTCTTTTCTGCCACGTGAGTCCCAGGGTTTGAACTCAGTCAGTTTTGGTAGCCATACCTTTACCTATTGGGCTGTCTTGCCAGCCTTAGAGGACTGCTATTTTTAAATGCGGTATTTTAAAACCCCCAGGGAAGAAAAATGCAAGCTGAATATTAAAAATAGAGCGGACAGGGGTGGGGATCTAGCTCGGAGTAGAATGCCTGTGTGCAGGAGGCCCAGTGTTCAATCCTCAGGACCACATACAAGGACACAAACTAAAAATAGAGTAGGCATTAATAGATAATGCTTGACTTGAGAACTAGCTGTTCAGCAATCAAGTCTTCACACAAGTGGCTGCTCAGAAACACCGGGCATTCGCCAGTTGCTCTTGCTCACGCCCAGGGCAATGTTGGGATATTTCGCCTGTATGTTTCCTGAAGCTTTTCACTTAGAGAAGGATCCCCGAACTCTAATTGCTCAAACAGCAGTGCTTTCCTGTTTAAGTCTTTAACTGTGGCCAGGGCATCAGATTCAAAAAAAGCGCTTTATCTAGCAAGACTCAGTTAGCAGCTACATGAAACTGTCTGGAGTGGATTTATTCCCAGAAAAAGAAATACCCAGAATAGCGGCAGTAAACAGTATGTGTACTTGTAAAACCTGGTGTCCTGGACGTTTCCCATCGTGGAGTTGAATGGCACCTTTGTACCTTAGTGGGAAACATAATTAGCAGTTTTAGCAGCGAGACACAAACCACAGATATGGATTCTCCAAAAGTAGTTACTTGTGGCTATCAGCAACAGAAACAAAGTTCAGCTTCCTTTTCTCTTTGTTTGTAACACAGGCTGTTCTGGAACCCAGGGTCCTCCTGCCTCAGCCGCCTGCATGCTGGGATTACAGGTATAAACCACCACACCTTGCTCACGGATTGTAACCGTGAGTCAGCACACCTCACTCCACTCTCCCAATTTCTACCCGAAAGGAAGTGCCTTGGGTTTTTGAGTTCGGACATTTAAATCAAATAAAGGCTAGCTGGGTGTGATGCTGTTCAATTTAATCCCAGCACTTTGGAGGCAGAGCTAGGCTGATCTCCGTGAGTTCGAGGCCAGTTTGGTAGACATAGAGGGTTATAGGGCAGCCAAGGCTACATAGTGGAAGTCCATTTCAAAATCAAAACCAACTTCCCCATGAGAAACAACAGCAAACAGACAAAAGCTAAAGTAGGCCAATGTGAATAAAGCAACTTCACCAAAAAAATCCATCAATTTAGAATATTTATGGATATATATGCTTTTCTTGGTTTAGCCAATCTTCATTTAGTGTTCAACTTTTTATTTATGTAACTTCCAAAGGATACATTAATTGCAAAATTTCCCTTGATCTCTTTTCAAGTTAATTTTAATTTTTAAATTTTTTCTTTAAAAAATCCCATAATTTGTTTTTATTTTCTCTTTTTATATTTAAAAAACCCACCTGTTTGTCTTATCTGAAACTACTGGAATCTATTTTCCATGGGATAACTGACTACTTCCCTATGTATTAACTAAGTTACAGTTATCCATGCATTTTGTGTTGTCATTCAATATTTTTTTTGTTAGTTTGTTTCTGTAGGACAGGGTTTATTTGTGTAGCTCTGTAGACCAGACTGGCCTTGAACTCAGAGATTCATCTGCCTCTGCCTTCCAAGTGCTGGGATTAAAGGCATCACCACTGCCCAGCTGTTACTAAACTTCTTATATGGAGTTGAACTTACTTGGCTAGCTCTATTCTGTTTTATTTGCCTTTATTTATGTTTCTGTGATGGTTAATCTTGGTTGTGCACTTGACTGCTCTGGAATCAGGTAACAGACAAGCTGATGGACGTGCCTGTGAGGAACTTTCTTGCTCAGTTGTCTGCAGTGGGAAGGCCCACCCTCCGTGTGGGTGGTACTTCTGGTGGCTTCCCAGATAGAAGGGAGCGGAGACACAGTGCTTTTGCTCTTTGCTTGCTTGCCTTCGTGTGCTGCTAAGTTCATGTATGCGGGCGGCAACTGACTGCTGCTGCTTCTGGCTGACATGTCAATCCAGTCCTTCCGCCTTCAAAATGGCCTGCAGAGCCGCTGCTCTCCAGGGTCCCTCGGCCTTTGGCTCCTGACTGGGACAGCTAAGGCATTTGGTCCTGTGGAGGCAGCAGCCACTGGGTTTTTAGCGTCAGTATGAAGGTAGCCACTGCTGTCCTGCTATGTAAACCAACCTGGTAAAACCCGTTAGTGCACTCATCTTTCTGTTCTTCCTCCAGAGACCCTTAACTAGCGGAGTTTTAGACTCTGTACAGTTTGGTTCGCATACTCTACTCTTTGAGTTCTGTAGACTGAGTCATCTCCAGTTCCCTAATCTTTTGGGTCCTACACTGTAGCTCAGCCTGCCTGGAACTCACTATGTAGTTCAGGCTGGATTTGAACTCTTTATGTAGTGGAGGATGACCTTGCACTTGTGGTCCTCCCCTTGTCCAGTGCCAGGATTACAGGCTGTGTCGCCATGCCTGGGTCTGTGTGGTTTTCAGGTAAGAGAGGAAATTTTCTTGGTGTGCCACGAGGAATGCACACCCGGTACCTTTTCTATGAGTTCCTCTGCTGCATCGTTTGCTTGTGTTTCGTAAGTTAGAGGACACTCCTCCATCACAAGTCTTGCATGCCTGTGTCCACCTGGTACTGCTGAATGCTTGGGGCTGCAATGAGAACACGGTCATGGTCAGGGTCAGAGGCAAACTATTGCTTTCCACCTACATCCACGAGAAAATCACGAGCAACTCAGACGCAAGGTCAAGGCTATCACTTGGTTATTTCAACTCCAACGGTTCACTAAAACCAAATGCCACAGACACACAGTGGTTTCTAATTTAAAGTGAATGAAAGAGACTTTGTTATTGGACAGAGCATAAGTAAAAAACACTATTTAAATGCAGATAAATGCCTGTTTCTCTCCAGCTTTTCTTTACTGATCCCTAACTTCTGCCAAGTTTCAGCACTTCTGAGTCTACTTAATACTAAAAGCAGGAAAAGGAGGTGGTTATGCACAGTTGATGGGGTTTGCAATCAGCATGAGTAAAAAATGTCACATGTGCTTAGTAATGCTTGATCTTGAAAACATTTGTATTCTAGCAAAAGCTGAAGTCCATACACACTTGTGTGTGTGTGTGTGTGTGTGTGTGTGTGTGTGTGTGTGTGTATGCCCACTGGTAACTATTGAATAGTAGTTACTGCTCTTTAAAAACAAGACAGGGGCAGGGTGCATGGCTCAGTGGTACAGTATTTGCCTAGAATGTACAAAATCCTGGATTTGATCCTTAGCAGTGAAAAGCCACCAAACTTTCTTCTTTTTGTTTTGTTTTTTTTTTTAATCTTAGGTAAGTTCTTATATATCTCAAGCAGGCCTCAAGCTTGGTAAGGAGCAGAGAATGATCTTGATCTTTGACCCTCCTGAATTCTGGGATTACAGGTGTGTGACTCTGTATCTGGTTTATGTGGTACCAGAAAATGAGCCCAGGATGTCCCACATGCTAGGCAAGCACTCTAGCTCTACCAGCTGAGCTCTACTCCCAAGCCACCATCTGGAATTTTATTTAACATAGCTTGTTTTTGTTGATTCTTTGGGAAGCTCAATCGTGCACCCCAATCCCACTCATTTCTCAGTCCCTCCATCTCTGCCTTCCCCCCCTGCAGCTTCTCCCAGAAAAGGAAGTGTAAAGTAACAGTAGCAACAGCAACTGCAACAGAAAGTCCGCTTGGCTCCCAGTCTTTCCCACTCCCCACTCCCCACCCGTCTCATCTTAGTAGCACTGGGACCTTTGGTATGACACAGTATATCCTGCTGTTGCCCAGATCAGGGACATCCTGCGGCTATGGTTCCACGGGACTGGTCTCTTCACGGGCTCCAGCAGGTCGTAGATGGGGTTGATGTTGGGGTGGACGTGGGTGGTAGCTGAGTGGGTCACCCCACCCCCTCAGGTGAGGAGCAGGGCCAGCTTTCCTGCATCAGGGGCTGGCAAGGGGCGGGGCCAGACCATCTGGAAACGTTAAAACCACCTCTCTCGCTTCTTCCTTCCCTTTCCAATTTGCCTATTTTATCACCCTTTTCCTCTTTGTTGTGATTTTCTTTAGCTTTTACATTGATTGCTGTTGATTCACTCCTATAAAGAGGAAACACTTTTTGAGATTAAAAAAATCATTGTGTGTATGTGTGTGTGTGTATGTATGAGTATATGTGTGAGTGTGTGTGTATGTATGAGTGTGTGTATGTGTGAGTGTATATGATGTATCTATGAGTGTGTGTGCATGTGCATGTGTGTATGAGTATGTATGTGTGTATGTGTGTATGAGTGTGTATGTGTGTGCATGTGTGTGTGTATGAGTATGTATGTGTATGAGTGTGTATGTATGTGCATGTGTATGTATGAGTATGTATGTGTATGAGTGTGTATGTGTGTGCATGTGTGTGTATGAGTATGTATGTGTGTATGAGTGTGTATGTGTGTGCATGTGTGTATGTATGAGTATGTATGTGTGTATGAGTGTGTATGTGTGTGCATGTGTGTATGTATGAGTATGTATGTGTGTGGATGAGTGTGTATGTGTGTATGTATGAGTATGTATGTGTGTATGAGTGTGTATGTGTGTGCATGTGTGTGTATGAGTATGTATGTGTGTATGAGTGTGTATGTGTGTACATGTGTGTATGTATGAGTATGTATGTGTGTATGAGTGTATATGTGTGTGCGTGTGTGTATGAGTATGTGTATGTGTGTGTGTATGTATGAGTATGTATGTGTGTATGAGTGTGTATGTGTGTGCATGTGTGTATGTATGAGTGTGTATGAGTGTGTATGTGTGTGCATGTGTGTATGTATGAGTATGTATGTGTGTATGAGTGTGTATGAGTGTGTATGAGTGTGTTTGTAGAGGGGGCAGTACTCTATAGTGTGCGTGTAGTCAGTTCTCTCCTTCCACCTTTTTCTTTAAAAGATTTATTTATTTACCACATATACAGTGTTCTGCCTACAAGCCATAAGAGGGCACCAGATTGAATTGTAGATGGTTGTGAGCCACCATATGTGGTTGCTGGGAATTGAACTCAAGACCTCTAGAAGAGCAGTCAGTGCCCTTAACCTCTGAGCTGTCTCTCTAGCCCACCCTTCCACCTTTGCATGTGTTCTGGGATCAGGCTCACACAGCAAGCCCCTCTGTCTCTCTGCCCAGTCACAAGGCCCAGACAGTTTCCATATAGATGAAGAGTGGTACAAAACTTTTCATAGATTAATTTCAGGTACTATTATGGCCATTTGCATTCTTCACTGGAGAGAGTAACAGCAGTCGTGTGGTTTGAATGAGAATGACCCTCACAGGCACTCACTAGTCCTCAGTTGACCTACTGGGAAGGGTTAGGAGGTGTGACCTTACTGCAATAGGTGTGTCACCTCAAGCCCACCCTAGGCGAAGTGTTTCCTTTTCTGCTTTCTGCCTGCAGATCAGGATGCAACTCTCAGCTACTGCCCCAGCACCATGACTGTAAGCATTCCACCTTAGTTCTCTCTAAAACTGTAAGCAAACCCTCAATCAAATGATTTCTAAGAGTTGCCTTGGTCACTGTCTTGTCACAGCAATAGAACAGTGACTAAGACAATTGCCTTCTTGTGGTGCTAAGGCTCAAACCCAGGGCCTCGCACAAGTGTTGTGCCATCGAACTATGTCTTCATCCCCAAAGGGAAGACCTTAAGACCTACTAGGCATACATAGAAATGAAATTTGGCAAATCTACTTTGCATGTGAAATGCTTAGGTTCAATCCCAAGAACTCCTGGTCTCCATCACATTTAGGGAAAAAGTTGCCAACATGTCTATCTAATTTTGAGACCTTGATGGGGCGGTGCTATCTGCTATGCAAGGTTTACGATGTGAGCTGGTTTCAGCTGCCGTTCTTAATGAGAATGGAGGTAGTTGGAAGAGCTCAGAGAGAGTGGGCTGCTTGGATTCCCTTGTTAGGCTAATTGCTGTTCCTTATCTTCTGGTGGTTGTACAGGAGTTACCACACCCAGCTTTTCTGGGTGCTTCTTGGGTCTATTCCCTCCTTTTGCTCACTGACATCTTCACTTAATGCCTATTTATTTGGCCCCAAAGAGTAAAGACAGTGATCAGGAGGGTGGTTGTTGTTTTGGCCCTTTTCCTTGGAGCTAGAATCTTCCTATGCAGCCCACAGCAGCGTCAGAGTTGAGGTCCTCAGGCCTCACTCACCCTCCTGGGTGCTGGGCTACTCCATCCTACATACACCACCACACTTGGTTTAATCAGGGGTTTGAAGGTGTGAGTTGCCTTATTCCAATTCACTTTCAGCTGATAAAATATGCCTTGAATCAATCCCCCGAGTAGCCTTCATTCTCCATCATGCTTTCAAAATCTCTTTTCTTTTAAAGAAAACCTGCCAGGTGGTGGTAGTGACTGTGGCAGCGGTGGCAGTGTACACTCTTAATCTCAGCACTTGGGAGACAGAGGCAGGTGGATTTCTATGAGTTCGAGGCCAGTCTGGTCTACAGAGCGGAACCCAGTCTCACTGCCCCCTCCTCCAAAAAGAACCAAAGCCCAACTAACCAGGCATAAAAACAATGCCCCCTGAAAAAGAAAGATTGAAGAAAACCATCCCTCTCAGTGGTCTCTGGTGTGACTTTTCTCAAGCTTACCTTGCTTTCAATCGAGACAGCACCACTCGGTACAGGTGACTTGCTGGGAGGTGTTTCCGATGCCCCACAGGTTGTATAACTGGGTGAATGGCCCCAACAACATAGCCCTTAAGATAATACGCTTCCACTTTGGCAACTATATCCAGAACTGAATTTATTTTGATGACTTCTGGGTTTGTTGAAGCTGAAATACCAAAAATGAAATTTTCATATCGGTAATATTGAATTCAACCTTATTCCTATCTATATGCGATGACATTAATGAACAAGAGCGACAACCACATGCCTTTATTTCGAGTAAGACACACTAACATGTGTTACGTATTTTCTATTTCAGGTGAGTTAGATGTGTTCAGGGTGGGATGACTGCAGATGAAACCTATTTTGGACCACAGCAAAGGTGATTTAACCAACTGACTAAACAAAAGAATAATAAGTAATTTATTATTAATAATTAAATAATAACCAATAGATAAATAATGCTGCCAGTATATTCCAAAGCGGAACTAGAATGCCTTTTAAGCTCTTTTACTCAGTGGGAGAGCTTTACTGCTTTGGATTTTATTTAAGTGACTATATTGCCTTTAAAAGACATCAAAGACATATATCAAAATAATAATTTAAAAAGCCAATAGTTTTCATAACTGAGCAAGATAAGATGCATAATTTCTTAAAATACAGTTTATAAAAGTTTAAACACTAAAAAGGGGAGACACTGTATTTAACAGACAGAAATTATAAAAAAAGAAGAAAGAAAAAAGAAAAGAAAAAACTAGCTATAAATGAAATTTAAAAGCAAAACCTGTCAGGCAGCTGAACTGTCTACCCTTCCAGGATGACACATCTACTGTAACTCTAAACACCCGTGTTGGCTGGGAGAAGAGAAGGGGGGATGCAATTGGAGAACATGTTCTCAAAGTTACAGAAATATTAATTTAAATAGTTTCATTATTTGTAGTACTTCTCATTTTATGGAGGACAATTAAGGATTATCATCCAGAAGTAGGCCTGGAACTGATTATCTTTTGAATAAGAAAGCACAAGAAGCCGGGCGTTGGTGGCACACGCCTTTAATCCCAGCACTGGGGAGGCAGAGGCAGGTGGATCTCTGTGAGTTCGAGGCCAGCCTGGTCTACTAGAGCTAGTTCCAGGACAGCCTCCAAAGCCACAGAGAAACCCTGTCTCAGAAAAAAAAAAAAGAAAGAAAAAGAAAGCACAAGAAATTAATGTCAGGTACGGGGCTGGCCTAGACTCACATCCATATGGCCAGAGCTGATGGCCTGAGCACAGGAAGCAGGTTGAGAAGCAGATGAGGAAGAAGTGTCAGGGGAAGTCCCTGTCCCCTGACACTAACACTCATGTGACGGACAATTCCAGCAGTGAGCACTCACGCCAGCCTCTCCTCATCAGAAAGGTATGCAGGCCAGCACGAACCCATTTCCTTCCCCTTTTATTCCCTTTTGGATTTAAACTAATATCCTACATCTATTATATTTTCTTCATCCTTATGATAGCAATGAAAAGAAGGAGGACAGTCCTGAAATCTGAAGAAACATCTGGTCTCCTGTAAACATTTGCCCTGTCTGTGTGGCAAATGTTTTATCATTTGTTTGGCTTTACTCTTTCTTAGCATTTGGTCTACAAATGCTCACTTTTTCAAACAAAGCAGCTCAAAAACTATACAATAATGTAGAACAGACTCTTAAGGCCAAGGAATAAAGTATAATGTAAACTTATCTTTAGAACTGTGTTAACTATACATAGTTTTTAAAAAAGATTTATTTATTATGTATACAGTGTTCCACCTGCATGTATGCCTACAGGCCGGAAGTGGACACCAGATCTCATTATAGATGGTTGTGAGTCACCATGTGGTTGCTGGGAATTATACTCAGGACCTCTGGAAGAACAGCCAGTGCTCTTAACCTGTGAGCCATCTCTCCAGCCCCCTGTCCATAGTTTTAAAGAAAATTAAAGTCACTTTTACATGGTTACATGGCATGGGGCAAGAAGTGGAGAAGTTAGCATGACACACAGAAGTCCTTTTAGCCTCGCATTTGTGTGTCTTTGACATGTGACAGCTTGGGGTTCTGATCCTGTCACTCTGTTTTACCCCGCTAAGCCTCCCTCCCCTTCCCTGTCCCCACCCCTGAGTTAACCCTCCCTTTGATGGCCATTCTGCATCGTGCTATGGCTGTTTGTTTACATGCCTGTCCTGACTGTTCACCTGGGAACTTCTTTTTGAACAAAGAGGATGAATGTTTTATTTGTTTCTCACTGTGTTGCAAAGCCAGTACGTCAGGGTGGAAATACAATGGCAGCCCACACGGCACATGGTAAAATTAAGACAGTACTGTCCTTCATCTAACACTGTACAATAGTTTCCTGTGCTCCCAGGCATTTCCAGTGAGAAACACATTAAGTCCTTCAACCAGAATCCCAGTGGACATGGGCAAGTTACAGTATTATGTGAGCTTTACGACACTATTATCCTGAATTGTGGAATTCTGTCGTCACTAGGTAGGGTCTCACCGTGTAACTCTGGCTGACCTGGAACTTGTTAGTAGACCAAGCTGATCTGGAACAGGAGATCTGTCTGTCAAGTGCTGGGATTAAAGGGTAGCTTGTCACCAAACCCAGCTTCATAACCACTTTATTACCATAGATGATCTCAAGAATTCTAAATACCAGAGTTTAACCCGAGTCTAAATACCTAGTATGAAGATTATTAAAAATATGTACATTGTATTTATCTGTACCCACCAGGAGTTGGGGTTTTTAAGTAGCACTGTTTTTTCTTTCCATCAGTATTGCTAGAAGTTAACAGATCTTCTATTCTCCACTAACTTAAGACAAGCATGCTGGAGCAAATTACTTCGGACAGTTTTATTTGGGAGTGGGGGTGCCATGCTCACTCCTCCTCAATGGATTTCACACATTTCTCGTATGCTTCTTCACTCGTTAATTCATCCAGCTCTGAAGGGTCACTCGGTGTCATCTTGATCAACCAACCATCTTCATAACAGGATTTGCTGACGAGCCCCGGGTTTTCGGCAAGTGCTTCATTGACTTCAGTTACCTCTCCTGACAGAGGAGAGTAGAGCTCACTGGCAGCCTTCACCCTCTCCAAAGCACCAAATTCATCTTGCTTTTTTTTTTTTTTTTCAGTTTGGTCCCAACTTCAGGCAGACTACAGTAAACAACATCTTCAAAGCTTCCTGTGCAAAATTGCTGATTCCCACTGTTCCAATACCATTCTCTGTGGTTATCCAGTCATGTTTCTCTGTGAATTTACACACTGACTGCACAGCGGATCCAGTGCTCAGAGCGCAGACAGTGGCGGCGCTCAGCACCCAGGGCGGCGGTGTGGGGGGGTACGGGGGTAGAGAGGGTGGCGGGCAGGAGGCAAGGGCGGTGTGTAGACTGCAGGCCACGGCCCACGCGCACCTAGCCGCTCCTAGCCGCTCACAGCGACAAGATTGACATGATGGGGATTCCTAGGGTAACCGCACTGCGCCTCCACCACCTGGGAACTTCTTAAGGGCGAGACTCCAATTGTATTTACATCTTTCTGTGCCTCACATGTTCCCTAGATCACTAGGTTACGCAGAATTCTTGTTTGTTAGGAATTGTAAAATTATTGCGCAAAGATGGAAAACCAATCACTACTAGTTAGGGGAAATAAAAAACAGTTCGGTTAGTACAGAAAAGCCGAGTGGCAGAACCCTGGCAGTGTCTTGGTCACAAAAGTAAGGGTGGTCAAGAGCACTTCGAGGCGCTGGAGCCATGGCTCATCATTTAAGGGCACTGGCTGCTTCTTCAGGGGACCCGGGTTCAATTCCCAGCACCTACGCGGCATCTCATAACTGTCTGTAACTCCAGTTCCAGGGGATCTGATACCCTCAGACAGATACGCATGGAGGCAAAACATCCATGCACATAAACTAAAAATAAGTTATTATTAAAAGCAAAAAAGGACATTGTAAGAATCCAGAGCAGAAAGTCATATTCTTTTCAGAAAGCTCTAGCACGAAGCCTCACACTATGTTAATGGAATAACACAAGAAAAGCCACATTACACACTAAGAAAAGCTAAAGCGACTTTTGGTTTAACTGACTTCATTTTGGAGGGAAATGTGAAGAGACAATGGGGGACAGAGTTTTACCCAAATCAAAGAATCATTTATGGGCTGGAGAGATGTCTCAGCAGGACCCGGGTTTGATTTTCAGCACCAACATAGTATCTGATGCCCTCTTCTGGCCTGCTCGGGAACTGCACACATGTGGTAGGTACACAGGCATATATGACTACAAAACTCACAAATAAAATAGAAAATAAAGTGCCATGTGTGGTAACATGTGACTACAGTCCCAGCTCCGGAGAGTCTGCGTCAAGAAGATGGAGAGTGTGAAGCCAGCCTGGGCCATACACTCTGAAGGATGGTCTTGGCTGTCCTGGGACGAGGGAACCTCAGTTGAGGAATTGTCTGTATTAGACTGGCCCGGGACTATGTCTGGGGGCACTTTCCTGATTGCTACCCAGTTGATGGAGAGCACACAGCCCACTGTGGGCAGCACCATCCCTCGGTAGGCGGCCTCGTCTGTCTAGGAGCGCCAGTAGAGACTGTGAGAGAGCAAGCCGGTGAGCATCTTTCCTCCATGATTCTTCCTGCCTTGAGCGCCTGCTGCGACTGAGCTCAGTGACGGCCATGACCGGAAGTGTAAGATGCAGGAAACCCTGTCTTCCAAGTTGTTTTTAGTCATGGTGTTTACCACAGCAACAGGATGACAAACTAGGACAAGGTTTGATGACAAGGAACAGTGTGACACTTATCCAAATGCTTTACTGAGGTGACCTTGATTTTCTGGCTGGCTTGGTAGTCATTATTAGGTGTGTATGCACATGCATGTGTGTGTATGTACATATGTGTGTATGTGTATCTGCATGTGTGTGTGTGTGTGTGTACACGTATGTTTGAATGTGTGTATGTGTAGTTCAGGGGTCTTCTTGTCGATCTTCCCCTCAAATTCAAAAGTTTTGCGGAGAGCCTCTTTCCATGTCATGATTCTGTGACGTGTTTTCACCTGCACTCAAGGCTGGGAGGTATTCAAACCTCTCACTGGTGCAGGTAACTGAGCAAGGACTTTTCAGCTGCACTCAGAGTGGGTCATTACATGTCCATGACAGGCTCAGCCTCTGAGGCCAAGTCTTTGATTTGACATCGGGCAGTAAAATCAGAGGCTCTATTACCCTTTAAACACAGGAAACTAGCAGGGAGGTGGCGGTTGTTTTGGTGACCTGCAGGCACGGGCAGTGAGCGGCAGCTGGGGGCTTTCTTGCCGGCCTGAATGCCGCACACACTCCTTGAGAGAAGGAACAAACTGTTTACAGCCTTGGTGGATTGGCTGGGAACTGTGACATTAATGCTACAAGCTCTGTAAAAGATATACATCCTACAGCACTATTGTGAGGAGTCTGGAAGAAAGCAATCTGTAACTGCTTTGAAAATTATACAAATGCTAAGTGAATTTATATTGCTACAATTAAAACTTGTTGGAAAAAATTATTTCTTCCCAAAGTTCCTAAACTAAAATACCCACTGATATTTTCCACATTCCTTCACTGAAAAGCTTCAAGGACAAAGCTTGAACCTTTAAATGTAAGGCAGTTGACATGGTGGCTCATGCTTGTCATTCCCTACATTTGGGAGGCTGAAACAGGAGGATTACCACGAGTTCTAAAGCAGCCTGTGTTACATAGTGGGTTTCAGGCCAACATGAGGCCTAAAAAACAAAACAAAAAACAAAACCTCCCAAAAGCCCCCACATAAAACAAACAGTCCTCCCCCAAAAAAACCAACCCCCCAAACCCAAATTAGTAAAAAGACACAAAAAGTCACATTCCACTATAAAGCTGAGAATCTGTTAAACACAAAATTTTGTTCTGACAACACAATTCTGTGAAAACAGCACAAACCACACATATTTATTTCCACCAATTTACCTCTTAAGATTGGTTTGTACTTCTAAAATATATCTAAAACTGTTTTCTTAAGGAAAAACAAACTGTACAAACTCAGCAAGCAGCTTTACCAGTTTTTCTTTTTTGTTTGTTTGTTGTTTTGAGACAGGGTTTCTCTGTATTGTTTTGGAGCCTGTCCTGGAACTCGCTCTGTATACCAGGATGGCCTCGAACTCACAGTGATCCTCCTGCCTCTGCCTCCCGAGTGCTGGGATTAAAGGCATGTGCCACCAATGCCCAGTGCTTTACCACAGTTTTAAAGGGGAACAGTCCAGGAACCCCAGGTTCTCCCCAGCATCTGTAGAACAGGGTAATAAGCGATGAATTCCAACATGGGCCCAGTTCTATGTGAACAGATCACATCCAGTCCCTAATTCCTACAGACTCCTCATGGTGGGCTTTTATTGTCTGATAAGGAAATTCAAGGAGAGAAATTAGGGAAGTGATCCAAACTGCTAGTAAGTGCTGAGGCTGAGCCGGAACCCAGGCAGAAAGACATGGGAACTGAGACACTCAAGTGCCCACAGGAAAGAAAACCTCACTGATCTGAACCATGTCTGTTGAAGGGTTGTGAATTCAGGCCTGAGGTCAGTCACACCAACAGCTCTCAACCTCCCTAACGCTGTGACCATTCCTCATGCTGTGGTGTCCCCAGTCATCAAATTATTTTTGTTGCTACTTTATAACTAATTTTGCTACTGTTATGAATCATAATGTAAATATCTGATATGTGATACCTGTGAAAAGATCATTCGATCCCCAGGTTGAGAACACTGGTGTAGACTATGACAGACTGTTAAGTAATTGAACGTGTATCTGTTAGGATTATCTGATTTATTCTGTGAGTAAGAGGTTTTAAGCAATTGAGAAATACAGACTACTAGGTAAATAACATTAAATGAAGTAACATTATGGCAGTTTTCCTTTGTTCTTGTATTTTGAGACAGCTTCTCAGGAGCCCAGGCTGCTCTTGAACATGGGGCCAATTATCCTGAGTAAGCCTCCTGAGTGCTGGGATTAGAGGCGGGTGCCACCTTGCTTGGCACTGGACACATGTCGGAGTGACTCATGGCAGTCTGGGAATCTTTTTTTTTATTTTGTAATTTTTAAAATTTAAATTAGACAGTCTGAAAATCTTGAGACCTGCCTTTCTATACTTTCTTCTTCCCATTCCATGCGGTCTCCAGGTCCCAGAATTCCTCCCACTCTGGCCTTTGGTTATCCTGTCTTTCAGGCTTGCTGGCTGCATCCCCATCCATTCCTACTCACTCTTTCGACCTTTCTCTAGAGGGTATAACACATACACGAAAATAAACAGGGATCATACTTTAAACTACCAAAACTTCGGTGACCACTATTTAACCAAGAATGAGGCAGTGGCCTACTCTCCAGAGACCTCCCATTGCACTCTGCAATCTTGGGTCTCTCTCCACCACACCTGACTGCCTGCGACTGTCCGGTAGCCACTGCTCACTCTTCCCTTAGTTAGTGCCAGACTGGGAATGTAGCTCTAATCTAAACAGTTCACGTCAAGCAGACACTGCACTAAGGAGTGGTCTGCCCCTGGCCTACACAGCCGGGCTGATTGGTGGGTGTTTTGAGCCTTATGAAAATAGACTTGCCAGGTGGTGATAATGGTGCACACCTTTAATCCCAGCACTTGGGAGGCAGAGGTAGGTGGATCTCTGAGTTCGAGGCCAGCCTGGTCTACAGAGCATGTTCCAGGACAGCCAGGGCTACATAGAGAAACCCTGTCTTAAAAAAACCAAAAAAAAAAATCATACAGTGCTCACTCAGGGTGTCTTCACTCAATGCCATGCAGCCGTGTTCCTAGAGTTCAGCTTTCATGGCAGTGTAACAGGAGTCAGCAAAGGATACCCATGGTGTTCAGCTGTGTATCCCTTTGGCTGCTATAGCATAATGTGCAGAGTTGAGCAGGCGTGGCTGAGTCCACATGGCTCTTATGCCCGACCACATTTACAGTCTTCCCTTCACAAAAACTAGTAGTGGATGTCTGCAGGCCGCTGGACCCTTGTGTGAGTAGGCTCTTGGATTGGGAATTCCCAATTGCTTGACTTGGATGGACATCCTTGTATACTCCATGGTGTATGTGGGCACTGGATGTATCTTCAGTTAAGTAGGAAATGCCATTTCTTTTCAAATGGCTATTACTTTACTGACACCTGTCATTGGCAATGTCAGAATTTTAGCTATTTTGGGTGTTTTGTAGTAGTGGTTTCAACATGCATGTTCCTGATCACCAATGACTGGAATACAGTTTCATATCCATGGCCACCTTGATTTCCGATTTTGTCTGTTCATGTAGTTTTAACCTGGATACAGTGACTGTGCCCTAATCTACTGCTATCCCATCCAGCAATTGGAACTCTGCAGGTATCCACCTGCTTCTCTGGCAGTGGTCTGATTGCTCAGGCCACAGCCTGGCTGGGATTTTGTTTCCGCAGGAACTGGCTCTGTTGCTGCCTCTAAAGGTAACTTTAACTAAATCTCTATCGTTCTATTTATAAGTAAGACTGGAGATTCAAAGGCTGGGGTGAAAACCTGCCAGCTCAGAGAGGCCGAGTAGCAAAAAGCTAACCTTCTCTTCTTGCTGGTGTCCCTGAAAAGCCCATACTTCCACTCAGCCAAACAAGAAAAAACCTGCCACTCTGTATCCCTGTCTCTCCCAGATGCCCCGATGTTTTATGGTTACTTTCTCTCAACTAGTTGCTAACTCAGCCTCCTGGAGCAAGGGTAATTTTATTTAATCAATGCAAATGCAAACTCGGGGTTCACAGTGTGATTGGAAATCATTCAACATGTCCAGATTCTTGTTTGTTCTTTTCTTGGGTTGTCTTTTCCTAATTGTCTTGTAGTGGTGATTTAAATATTCCGGACAGAAGCCTTTATAGGAATCTAACTCATTTTGTACATCTCAGACGGCGTGGCACTTATGAAGAGCCTTTCTGGGCCCGCCTACTCAGTCAAGCGGCTCTTCCACAGCCTGCACCCAGGGCACCGTGTGAGCAGCCCCAGGTGGTATCCCAGAGCATAGTATATACACTGTGACTGAACGTGTCCTACCCAGCTCCCGTCACAGGGTTCTCACGCAGATGTAGTCTGCTCAAGTGTGCAGATCTAGGCTTTTCTATAGTGCACCCCAGCTTTCAGCACGGTCTCAACAGGCTTTTCTATGGCGTACCCCAGCTTTTAGCACAGGGGCTCAACCAGGCTTTTCTATAGCAAACACCAGCTCTTAGCAAAGGGGCTCAGCCAGGCTTTTCTATAGTGTACCCAGCTTTTAGCATGGGGGTAAACCAGGCTTTTCTATAGTGTATCCCAGCTTTTAGCATGGGGGTTCTCAGAGAGCATGCCTCACTTGATAAAAGGACACAGGTAGGAAGAGAAGCGGCAGAGAAGACATAGATACCTAGCAGGGACGCATACGCATTGTCTCCTAACACTGACTGGTTTTTGTTTTTTTTTTTTTTTTTTGGTTTGTTTCTGAGTCAGGGTCTCATGTAGCACAGGCTGGCCTCAGACCTGTTGTGTAGACAAGGAGACTTGTCTCCACTTGCCCAGTGCTGGGATTCTAGGTCTGTGTCTTCACGCTTGGCTTTATGCAGTGCAGGGACTGAACCCAAAGCTTCGTGCATACCAGGCAGACACTACCAGTTACGCTACATTTCCAGCTCCGGGCACTTTTAAAAGTCGGTCAGCTGTAGGCTATTAATAGAGATCCCTTCCTCTCCTGGTTCAGAATGGAATACTTTTCCACAATAGTCTGCATTTGTGAGATTTGTTATTTTTCTCAGGTCGACTGTGTCATTACAAACATAATAGAACACCTTATATAGTTTTGTAAAAAGAAACATTAACACTTAAAGAGGATTCAGTCAATATTATCATTAATTTCTCTCCCTGTAGCACTTAAACATGAAAAAAAAAGACCATTGGTTGTTGGGGGGAGGTGCTCCAGAATTTGTTAGATTGACATACACAATGCAGCCTGACTTTTATTTCCCTTCTCCCCTGTCCCTTTTCACTCCTTTATTTCTGACAGGTGTTGTGATGTTGCCCTGTCTGGCCTCAGACTTGCAGTCTTTCTATTTTAGCCTTCCAAGGCCCGGGACTCTAGGCGTACACCACCATGCCTCACTCTTTCTTTCTAACTTGTATTTCTGGCCATGTGTTTACCAACTCTTGTTGATTTTAGTGCATCCCCTGCACAGCTTCATTCCTGTTCTTCTCGAATACTCTCTGACACTTAACTGTGTCCCTCTGTGGTAACCCTGTGCTCTCTGCTCCCTGGCGTCACACAGCTCTGGAAGCACACTCTTGCTGCTTTTGTTGAGTTGTTCTCTTTACGGCTATGTACCACATCAGCCCAGGTTTCTGGCTGGATTTGGAGCTCATGGCCTGGTTAGGCTGGAGGGACAGATCTTTTCAGACATCTGCCTGTCTGTGTCCCCAGTGTCCTCAGTGCTGGGAGTACAATGGGCACACCTGGCTTTTCTGTGGGACTCTAGTCCTTATGCTTGTGCTGTAAGCACTTTGCTGACTGAGCCATCTCCCCGGCACCCGTTAGATGCTTGATGAGAAGGTTGGAAAGGGAGGCCAGCCGTAAGAGAGGGGCAACTTTGAACCATTCAGCATTGGAATAAGATAATATTTATTCTTGCAATCTACATACTACTGTGGAAACTTTGTACAACAGAATTTGCAATGAAATGACTGTAAACGGGGAGAGAGGTAGACTTGAATGGGAAATAAACAAATTGTTCAAGACACATGGCACATAACATAGGGCATTTCTGAAGTCTCCCCTTCTTTAAGCTTCATTCTCTGCTCCATGGCTTCCATTTGAAAAAAAAAACCAACCAAACAACAACAACAAAAAAGACCCCCGACGAAAGTAGGAGACAGGCTCATTGTGAACACACACAGCTGTCCCCAGGCCATTTTGTTTCTGCCTATGTTTCTCACTGTGTGGTAGTCTGGCAGCCAGGAGCAGACGCTATTCATTTTCCCTCCCAGCAATTCCAGGAAGGGATGCCGGTGCCAAGCAGAGGGCTGGCATGTGTTAGCCCACCCAGCCTCACTAGCATAGACACCGCAGTGGCAGGCAGGTGGCTGTCAAAGACAGGAGGAAGGAGGCAGGGGAGCTATGACTGGAAGAGGGGGCGGAGCTGGGCTGGTACACAGAGTCCTGGCTTCTGAAGCAAAGGCAAAGGCAAGACCAAAACAAATGGGCAAACAAAACCCCCAGACGAGAGCATGTGGGAGAACGGGGAAGAAATGGGCCAGGAGACCAGGCGCCTGTACCAAATAGGAAGCAGATGCTGCCCGAAGACACGCCCGCTTTAGTGTTAGCGTGTGTGCATAGTACACCCATGCCTGTGCTTTAGGAAGGAGTTGCCCGCTTGCAGCATCTAGAGCGAAAGGTGGGAATTATATTACTTTCGCAGAGAAAAAGGTTTCTGCTAACAACAAAACCAAAATGACTGTTGAGTGAAGGCTGCGTGTCTTTTCGATTAGAAGGTAATCGTGTCTATATGAATTTGTTGGAGGTGCTAACATCTTGGGATGGTAAAGATCAGAAAAATGTCAAGCCTGCAAAGTTCTACAGCCCTAAGTTGAGCTGTGCACCAAAATCTTAAAGCATGGATGAAAATGGTTCTGGCTTAAGCTTCACAAACAGTCCAGAAGGACACTATGCATTTGCCACCCCAAACAGTCTGTACTGACAACAAAAAGCAATGGAGTTGAGCCCTCTGTAGAAGCACCCCATCACAAGGATGCTCCTTGAATGGCCTTTCTTAAGGCAATTCACGGTTACTGGCTACTTTTCTGTCAGCATTACCTCAATCCATTTAAAATTCACATGACAAAGAAGGAAACTGAGATCTTAACTTTTCTCTTTCTGGAAGCCTTATCCTTCCTCAGATCCAAACAGGTGGGTAAACATGTTCGAAGCACAGGTACGGATCTTATGGGTCTCTGGAAAGGCTCTGCCTGCTGGCCAGCTCAATTTCTGACAAAGAAAAATGGGTTGCCCCTGCTTCTTCACACACAAAGATGCACTGTTTTCAGAGCAAACCAAAAAAAAAAAAAAAAAAAAAAAAAAGGTGGAGAATAAAAGACTACATCTACTAGGACAATTTAATTTAAACTCTATGAGTTAAGGAAATGTATGACTTGAGAGAATTAAAATTATGCTTTGCTTTAAGAATTTTATACTAGCATTTGGAAAACTCAGCAAGCAAATTTCTTTAAATTTCATTTTTTTAGTACATCATAATTAAAGATGCAGTTTGTTTTAAACACTGTTGTGTCCTTGTGTCTCTACAGGACACGTGTGTCTGTAACATTATTCAGTGTCCACAAGGAGGGAGGCAAAGCCTTTGGTAAAGTGGGTTGCTCCAGCCCCCTTCCCCAAGCTGCCTTTGGGCTTGCTTATTTGTGTTTCCAACTTTTTGGAACAGACTTTCTCTGTTAGGGATGGAGCAGTCAGCTGAGGAAGTGTCTTCCAGTAGGCTATTTTTTTTTCCTTAAAAACAAAACCAACAACTTTGGTTTTTCAAACTTTAGTTTGGTCAAACATATCACATGAGTAACACAATCACAAAATTTAACACATTGGCTCCCTCAGAATTGCCTTGACGAAGTTTTCCACAAGGCATACAAGGAGTGTTGCTCACATCCCGCAATCCTGTGCGTTTCAAATCTTTTCAAAACACAAGCTGTCATTAAGGCTACAGCAATTTGGCCCAGAAATCAAACGTTTGTCCTATTTGCTTTAAAAACAAAAGGCTCATTTCCAAGTAGTTTTCCTAATTTTGTATAATACACAGGAACCATGGCAAAAAAAAAAAGTGCATGAACCACAAACCTCCCCAGATATAATTAAGAAACAAAGCGTCATTGTTAGATGGACCGAACAATTTCATTATGAAAAAGAGCTTAAGAATCCACAGGTCCACACTTCAAAGACTAAGTGTTCTCTTATTTGGAAACAGATAACTACGTTAGAAGTTAAGAGGTACCTTGTAAAGTAAAATCCAGCAGGGCATATTCATAAGCAAACTCTGTCTTTGTTTCCACTTGCGGTCTCTTCAGGGTAGAAAATATTTTTCCAGGGCTGCTGTCATCAGAGTCTTCCAGCTTCCTAAGTCCGCACCCCATGGCAAAGTCTGCAAGGAGTTAGACTGCGGAAAAGAGCTACAGGACCGCGAGCAGCCAGTTCTCTTGTTGAAGCTGCGAAGCGAAGTTACACACTTAACTGCTTTCTTTGGTTTGATTTTCAGCGAAATGATAGATAGCCAGAAAGAAAACGGCGGGTCCAAGGCGAGGAGCGGGAGACTTTAGCCATTCTTCTGTAAGGTCACTCAGCCCATGGGTTAGCTCCAGCTCCGGGGCGCTGGGCTCGATCTTCGAGGAGCTCTCAAATTGCTTCAACTTAGCGGAGAATTTCCATGCCACGTCAATTTACAGCCAGCCAGCCCCCGACCAGAGCTCTGCCGCTCAGGGCACGGGGCTTTGTCTCTCCCAGCTGGGTGAATGGAAAAGAGGTGTCCAGAAACGGAACTAAAAGTACAACTCGGGTGTGGTTATCTACAGATAGAAGACGGAGTCCGTCAAAATGATGCCGTCCTGTCTGCTTTCTCTCTTCTGTCCTGTGCTCGCTCTGTCTTCCCGCCTCCACCAAGAGAGCAAAAGGGAGGGGGAGAGGAGGAGAGAGGAAGAGAGGGAGGGAGGGAGAAAGGGAGGGAGGGAGAGGAGAGAGAGAGAGAGAGAGAGAGAGAGAGAGAGAGAGAGAGAGAGAGAGAGAGAGAGAGAGAGAGAGAGAGAGAGAGAGAGAGAGAGAGAGAGAGAGAGAGAGAGAGAGAGAGAGAGAGAGAGAGAGAGAGAGAGAGAGAGAGAGAGAGAGAGAGAGAGAGAGAGAGAGAGAGAGAGAGAATATCAGAATATCAGTGTGGTTGGAAACAAAAATCAGTTCCAGAAGGGAAGTGAGCTTTCTTAGGGAACCCTGGACTCCATCAGGAGACAGAAGGAATAAAAGAGAAAGGAAGGAAGGAAGGAAGGAAGGGAGGAAGAGAAAACAAGGAAAGCACTTCAGTCCTAGGTGGAACGTTTGAAAATCTCTTTCTACTTGGAGTTTCTTTTTGCTAGAAAAATGGGATTAAAACTACCAAGTATAAAAAGCATAAAAAACCCCCAAACCTCAAGACATTTTCATAAAAAGGCTTGAGGAAGAAAGAGGCTAGCAGAGTGACTATGGTCGAAGTGCATTACACACATGTATAGAAATATCATCATGCCTTTGTTTTTATTTTGTTCAATTACCACGCGCTAATAAAAAAGAAAAAATAGTTTAAAAATCTTTACATAATTGCAAAGAGGAGACAGTTGTGCAAGGAATTAGTTTTCCCAACATGTGTCTGTGTGGGGTGGGGTGAGGGTGAGGGGTGGGGGAGGCCCTCGGTGGCCAGAAGGGTGGGTCAGATCCTCGGAACCTGGAGTGGTTGTGAGCCATCATGTGAGCTCTGGAGCCATGACTGGGTCCTCTCAGGAGCAGCCGATGCTCTCAGGTCTGGGCTGATTCTCCAGTCCTGTACCTTTGGTTTAAACACTGCTATTAGAGAATTTACAGTGGTGACTGACAGCAATTCTACAGGTTGCAAAATGGCTTAGTTAAACAAAACAAAAGAAAGCAAAACAAGCAGGGCGTTGGTGGCGCACGCCTTTAGTCCCAGCACTTGGGAGGCAGAGGTAGGTGGATCTCTGTGAGTTCGAGGCCAGGCTGGTCCGACAGCCTCCAAAACAATACAGAGAAACCCTGACTCATAAAACAAAAAGCAAAACAAAACAAAAACAAAAAACAAAAAACAAACAAACAAAAAACCCACTGCCTAGAGAGGGCAATGCATTTATAAATATGTGCACCTTATGAGATAGGGCTGGCAGGCATGATAGGAGGGAAGAGATTTTGGCACCACTCTATTTGCAAAATAAATCCTGATCTCCTTTGGAAACCTGGAGAAATCCAGGCTGAAGAGATTGGTCAATCTGTTAAAGTATGCACATGAAAATTCTTTGAAGGAAGTATTTGTGCATTATTTAGTTTGTAAATCATTGCCATCTTTTGCCTCTTCCTTCTGCCTATTTCCCTTTAAGTATTTACTTCTCAAAAGTGTTTTATATAGGAGACCATTCCATAGTTCTCATATTCAAGGCTGGGCTTAATCAGTAGAAGGGAATTCTGGGTAAATTAGGTGACTAAGAGAGAGACTCATTTGACTGTTTATAGACTCACCATTGCCATATTTCATGCCCCCCTTTTGTAGAATGGGCTGTTATGCTATTATGTAGTAAAAATGGGATCTCTGCTGGTCTCTCACCAATCACAATGCTTGTAAAGTTGTTTATTAAGTACCCATTACCTTTATCAAGTGCCTGCCATTTCTTAGCACTCAAAAGACATTAGCTACAAAAGACGACTACACAGGGTCTGTGCCCAAAAGGAACTTATGGGACTATGTTCTGGCTGTTTTCAAGGACGAGTACATGGAGGAATGACACAGAGAGGTGGGAGATGTGCCTGGAGGAGGGACTTGCATAACTCAGGTGAGTTGTGAAGCAGTACGGCATGGGTGAGCAACACTGAGCAGTTGGTTACTAGAACATAAAACATGAAAGGAAAACTAAGCTGTGAAAATGGGCTTTGAATGCTATGCAAATAGAACTTAGCTTTTATTTTGCAGGTGATAGAAGGGCATCAAATAATCAAATGTAATCGAAGGACAAACATTTTCCTATTAGATGTGTCACTGATATAGCCCAAGGAAGATGCTTTAAACAGAGTGAAGGGAGAACGGGGGCTGGAAAGAAGGCTCTAAGTCCAACTGAGAGCGGAGGCTGAACGGATGTAGGTCCCTGTTACTATTATGTATGTATGTAGTTATCAGTATGCAATTATGTATTATTGTGAAACACCACATCATCATCGTGTATGTAGTTACTACTACTATTATGAATGTGTGATGTGTGTGTATGTGCTGTTTGTGTGTATGACTGCCTGGAGGCCGGAGGACAACTTCAACTGTCCCCTGTTTTTTAAGACGGTGTCTCTCATTGACTGGAACTCACCAAGGAACAGAGGCTGGCTGGCCAGCAAGCCATAGGCAGCTGCTTGTCTCCACCTCTCCCTAGCTGGGATTCCTCAGCTTTTCCCCCTTTCCTCTTAAAATGTGAATTGGGAAGGTTGAATGCTGGCTCGCAAAAGCACTTTCTTGCCTTGGCTGACCTGGAACTACTGTATACACTAGCCTGGCTTTGAACCAACAGAGATTCAAGTTCTGGAATTAAAGACATCACTGAATAATTGAACAAACTCTTACGCCATTTTCTCCCTACAATCACAAGAGAACAAAATTTTGTTTGACTTTTACTAATACTTGAAAACCATTTTCATGTATTAATGTGGCATATGTTCCCATCTTGATAATTTTTGCTAGTTCTTCATATTTGCAGATTTCCCATGTGGATATTCAAACAAATGCATATTGGAAATGTGTTTTGAAATTGCACCTGTATTGGACATGTGCAGACATCTATTATTGTCCCTGAACATAGCAGCCTGACAATCATGAGGGATTTACACACTATCTTTAATATTAAGTGCTATTATGCAACTTAGAGATAATTTGGTGTAATTCGGATGATGGTGCACGGCATCTGAACATTACACCATTTTATAGAAGAGTTGAGCATCCTTGGATTTTGGTGTCTGTGGGAGTCTTAAAACTAGTCCCTGTGGATTTTGAGTCATATCTGTCATGGCACTTCATTGCAATTCCTACAATATTCAGCAAGTAACTTTTTGGTTATTTTAAGTTCCTGCGATGGGAAAACGAGTCACACTAAGGATGCTGGGAAAAAAGTAGCTGGATATTTATTAAGATAGAGAGAAGTATCTTATATGAAAGCACTGGGTCAGCGCTCTATGGTCTCCAAACCTTGGCCAGGATCCAAGACAGCTTTTCCTTTCTTTTCCCCTTATATGTCTCGCCTTTCCCACATCCCTCCTTCCATGCCCCAAATGGGCGTAGCCAGTACCTCAGGTTCGTGAGATCTCCCTTACAAGTTCCTACCATGAAAAATTTTGTAAGAATTATTTTCCCACCTTTGGGTTTGGTTTATTTTTAAATATGTATATTCTCCTTCATACATAGTCAAATAGTTTATTACTTTTTCAAGTGATTTATTTGTATGTAAATGATATTTGGACTTAAGGCCCACTCAGTAGGAGGGAATTCAAGTCTTGTATTGTAAACCTAGCAAACTACCCGTGTCTGGTGTCTGGTGAGGTCATAGACTCAAGAGGAAAACCTATTACTGACTGGCTTTTCCTAAACCAGGGTAATTTCTAACCTCTTTCTAAATCCTTATTCTTGTAGCCACAGATAAGCATAGCTGTCACCCCTCATCAAAGAAATATTTGCAGCAGACAACGACCATTATAAAAAGCCACAGCTGGTCAAAATAGAGAACAACTGACCATGGGGTCCCTGTAGTTAACTGATATACTTACAATACAGCTCCTATCCCCAAAGGTCATGGACCATCACAGGAGGGGCAGAAAGACTGTAAGAGCCAGAGGACCAGAATTGCGTCCTATAGATATGCAAGATTATGCCTTATATATATGATAGGGAAACTGAATCCATGAAATCTCAACAATATATATTCTTAAACAAGACCTGAACAATGACAACACCATTTGGGATGCCAGTGCTGTTGGGGGAAATCCCACGGAGTCCCACCTCTAGATGAGAAGCTACAGGCAATTGATGACTGCCAAAAGAGGGATAATTAGTCTTTCTCAGTGATGAACCCCCTAAATGGTTATCTATCACCTAGTGGCCAACCCTAAAGACATACATTGAAGCAGCACTCAATGGGCACATTGGGGTATGTGATATATATATGTTTGTGTGTGTAATATTTGCATAAGTATATGCACATATGTATGCAATACACATGCACACACGTGTGTAACAGTAATAAGGAAAACCAAGCCATAAACTTGAGATGGAGTGGGAGAGACATGGGAAAGGGTTGGAGAGAGGAGGAGGGGGAATGATATAGTACTGTAAGGCTTAGCTAGAGTGGTAAGTCAAGAGAAAATAAAAAATGGATATAAATATGAAAGGAAGAAGTCAAAGTATCTCTACTTACAGATGATATGATTCAACACATAAGAGACTCTAAGGATTCTACCAGAAAACCCTTAGAACTGATGAATACTTTCAGCAAAGTGGCAGGGTACAAAATCTACACACAAAAGTCAGTAGCCTTCCTCTATGTCAATGACAAACATATTGAGAAGGCAATCAAGAAAACACTTAGATTCACAATAGCCTCAAAATTTTACCTTGAATGAAACCCAATAAAGGATGTAAAAGACCACTACGATAAAAACGTTAAAGCACAGATGAAATAAAGTGAGGAAGTCAAGAAGGAAAGACATCGGGTTGGATGTGTTAATCTTGTGAAACGGTCATCCTACAAAAAGAACTGTATAGATATACAATATTTAGCCAGGCGTTGGTGGCGCATGCCTTTAATCCCAGCACTCGGGAGGCAGAGGCAGGCGGATCTCTGTGAGTTTGAGGCCAGCCTGGTCTACAGAGCGAGTTCCAGGACAGCCTCCAAAGCCACAGAGAAACCCTGTCTCGAAA